ATATATATATATATATATATATATATATATATATATATATATTAATTATAGTTTCACACGTTCTGAAATTAATTAAATATAATAAGCAATATAGAATAATATTTAAAATAATGAAATACCTGACAAACTGACAAAGTCATGCAAGATAGAGCGACCATCATCCTTCCCCCAAAACGCGGGATGAGATAAAAAGTACAAATAATAGTAGTAACTTGTACAACTATGCCCCCTACTAGAAAAGAAAGAAATGGCAAGGAGAATGGCAGGGAGCCTGCCCCTATAGATTCAAAGGAAAAGGGACCAATCCTATATAGGAAGACAGACTGATGTGAGTGCATCAACACCATGAAAGGTCGATACGGCTTAGTAGTGTGTCTAGTATTAACTCTATCAAGGAAAATTGATGGCCAAAAAAATAAGCCACAAATGGCTACTAAAACGAAAAAGGCTGACCGCCAATGGAGTGGAAAAAACTTATAGATTAAAAAATTGTCAAGAAACACACAAAATCCCCCAAATACAAAAGAAAGATCAAATGTCCTATCTAAAACATCTCCATTATGGTCGGGAGACATCCGAATGAGTATTATAGGGATATCCTGCAAATGATTAGTATAATTAGTTTAAATTCAATTAACATTAAAAGTGACACAAAAGTGTCAAGTTATTATTATAAAATATGTGCAACGTCTTACCGCCCGAGCCATACCAACGCCCATCCCTATCAGAAAAAACTGCAGTGCACTTTTGATGGGGTATGGAGCCTCCAGGGCAAACATGAGAGCACCACCTGATAATAGTAGGATCCAAGAATAAAAGTGAACTTGGGCCACCTTGTGAGCCACCTTGCCCAGTGCACCACCAAGCCCAGACATGCCCCAAAAAGAGTCCCCAATATCAATGAAATGGGGAAATATATCATTCCCCCACGTAGGGCATCACTGAAATTGACTGTGTATGTCATTTTTGTGTTATGGTACCATGCACTCGAAATTAAGCTCGGCTTGGAAGACGGGCATCATGAATATACCACCTATAGTAATTAGAAATTGAATTATATTTCTCACTAACACTCATGTTTAAAAGGGAAGTTTTTGAGGTGTGTCTCAATCTCAGACAATGCCCTTACAGTGCGCGTGCAATGTGCGTGCAACGCGAGTGCAATGTGCGTGCGATGCACGGATAATTTTTTTGTTTGTTATATATTTAGATAATAAAATTACGGTATTAATTTTAAAGATTTTAATTTTGGTAAGGCCTTATTTATTTACCCGAACAGTGTCACAAAAATCTAAAAACCGACCCTACCCCACACCTCGCCCATTCCCATCATCGTCATCATCTTGTCTTAGATTCTTGGATTTCCGGCGAGACGACGCTGGCGAAGTTGGATAGCGAGAAGAAATGGTTTAACAAGTCAGATTTTTCATTCACATCAAAACAACATAGATTAAAGTATAAGCATGGTTGCAATAGGCGCTAGTCAGGTGGCCGGGCAGCGCCTAGCGCCTAGGCGGTCTAGGCGGCGCCTATAATGCAAGCATAACAATTGGTTTATACGAATTTTTCTAGTTACAACCTTTGATTTATTAGAAAGCTCGCACTAACTACTTAAATATGTGCTTAAATAAATGTCACTTTGCGACTCTAGCAACCAAGCTATATTGTCTATAGTTGACCGATTCAAACTGAAAAGAGTAATAAACAATTTTTACAGGGCCAAGTCAACTACAAGACTAGTAAATTGTCCTATATGGCATAATCTAAAATTTGGAACATCTCTCATAAATGATAGGATGGAGGAGATGAGATTCAAATTGAATTTAGGGCAATTTACTATGTGGAAAGTCGGAACGAGTAGTTACACTTTGAAGAATAGTACAAATAAAACTTGTGAATAACTACCATTTAGTGCAATAGCATCCCGATGATGGGCCTGCAGGCCTGGGAGCTTAGATTCTTTGAACTGAAAATGTTTGAGAAATTATAGAACATATACTACCTTGTAAAGAATTATTAGTATTAGAGAATATTCATGTTGGGCCAAAGTTGTAGAGAAAATTTATAATTTCAATTGACATGGAACACACTATTTGTTTGTTTGTTTGTTTGTTTTTTTTTTTTTTTTTTTTTTTTAAATAATAATAAAGTATATTTATATAAACAATGTAATTAGTACAATCAATAATGACTAGTCACCAACACCCCCCTATACTAGTTTCAAAGTTATAATGTGCATGCCAATTAACGTAATATGAATAACATAACGTGTATTTAATTCCTATTTAAGTTACTAAGTTATTATACGGTAATGATCGGCACATGCAGTTTGTTGAAATTTAAACGATTTTTATTTGACTTCTTATCCCACCTTATTAAGGAGAGGAAATAACAAAGTTTTTTATTTTTATTTTTCTAAATAAAAAATATACTATCTTATTTCTTGTGACTTGTAGTCCTTGAAAAAGTGATGAGAGAGAACCCTACTGCCGAGTAATAAAAATTAAAAGACTGGTTTAATTTGATTTTTTTTTAAAAAAAATTTTCTATAAATAGTTGTGCACTACTCGTAAATATAGAAATTAATTTGCAAATTCTCAAAATGTACTTACAATCCATCATTATCTATTGCTTTGATGCAGCCAATGACCTGTTAACGTTAACAAATCTTTATGTCGTAACTATGGAAAACAAGCTACAACTTCGGAGTTTGGTCGTAGTTTGATGAAAGGTAGGTGTGTCATAATGTCGACATGGTTATACAATCGCCATTGAGAAAGACTAGCTAGTACTCTATGTGTATTTATATTAGTTAAAACACGGAATTTATTTTTCAGATGGAATAAAAACTCTTCTATTTTCTCAATTTCATAGGTCAATTTTTCATCCACACGTTAACCATTTTGAGTGTATAAATATTCTAAATTTAATTATCTCATCAACTAAAAGAATTCAAATCCATTATAACCTGACCCAAACACATGGATAATGGACTCCACTCAAAACATTACCTTAAAATGACCACTCACATATATGCCATTTTTATGTCATATTTTCAACTATTGGTAACATAAGTTTGAACTCTAAACTTAGGACTTATCACCACTAAATGGGGAGATGATATTGGAATTTCTCGGCAAGTGCAGTTAAATTATGGGCGTAATCTGTTAGTGATTAGCGTAATATTCAAAATTCAAACAACACATGCAGTACTGATTAGCATTTATTTATAATATAAAATAAATCCAAAAAAAGGGGGCATTATTGTGCAGAGAGAGTGGAGAATCTTTGATCTTTTGTCAGTGCAGTTTGTCTTAAGCGGTGGCCATAGGTACACAACCACAACACACGCTTGCCTGTTTGTGCCGCGCGGCCGTGCGGTCTCCGCTGAGGCCATCCACAAGCCTGTTTGCTCAGACCACACTCCCCTGGCCCCATGCATGCATGTCTAGGGATGCCTATTCAGTACTGTGTTTGCGAAAAGAGTCACACTTATGTGAGACCAAATTTATGAGATGAGTTAAATATAAGTGATAGGAACTATCTTTTATTGGATTGTAGTTTATATTTGATCGGTATCGATTCTAGTACTTGAGTATAGCTCAATCCGACCACCACTAATTTAGATTGCTCCTTTGCCCGACCTAAATTCATACCGAGTGTAATTTGACTGGTCGAGCTGGGAACAGTATTAATCGCCCTGTTCCGACAGCATGAGGTCGGGACTGAGCACCCGACCTATAAATCTATAATACTTAGAGCCCAACGTCTATTTCTCTTAGCTAAACTTGGTGGCAACATACCCAAAGGAATCAAGGAATTTTAGGGCACGTGGACGAGCCAGCTTGCCCGGGCCTCTACCTTGCCCTGTGCATGCGATCCATGTGTCGCGCATGCCGAGATACCGGTATTTGTCCCCTCTTTTCTCCACCTGTAGCTCGTAAACCTTTGACTCAATGTCACGTCATCCGAGCTCAAAGGCTTAAACCAACACGTAGACTAAAGGGATCGTAACCGAAACCATAATGCTGGTTACTTATGATAGAAATCATGGTAAGTGTCGCACTTTGTTTGTTTTTCGAATGTTACTTTTTGCATTTTCCACCCACTAACCTTTAGCTCGGAAACCTTTGACTCAATGTCACGTCATCCGAGCTCAAAGACTTAAACCAACACGTAGACTAAGTAAAGGGATCGTAACCAGAAGACTTAAACCAACACGTAGACTAAGTAAAGGGATTCTAACCAGAACCATAATTGTAAGTTACTTATGATAGAAATCATGGTAAGTGCCGCACTTTGTTTGTTTTTTGAATGTTACTGACTTTCTCAACCTAATGAAGGTAGAGTCCACTTTGTTTAACACCTCCACATAGATTTGATCTCATGATCTCCCACATGAAAGAGGTCACTATATGTTGTATGAGCATAAGGTGTTTGACAGTGCTGCACTTTGTTAATTAATATCTAATTTAAAATAAAACTCAATTCAAAATGCTAGGCTAACTTGATATCAGCAAAACTTGTACTTCAATTCCTATATATATATATATATATATATATATATATATATACTCCATAGTTAATTCAGGTGTAATACATTTTAATTTTAATACTTATTATGTAGGTGTAAATTAAATAATTTTATTGTAAATTGTTAACTAAATAGAATTACATCATATGTTACTTGTGCTATATTAATGCTGACATGGCACCTCTTTCGCTTTCCAAAAAGTCCACCGTGGACTGCAGCGCCAGATTGCCAGAACCACCATGGATTACACTATTACAGAAATTCAGAGCACACGAACCGTTACTGTAAAGGACCGTTTGGTACGTTTTTCCACAATCACAGTATTGAATAACATGATTTCAAGAATTCATTTAATGGTACCAAACGCCTCCCCTAAAAGGCATCCTTTCTTTCTTCCTTGGCTACCTGGCTCACCATGTATATATATGTATGTATGTATTGGCTGAAAATATCAAACACTTCAGGCTGAAACCATTTTATCTCTGAAACGAAAATGGCTGAGCAGCAAAAGAATGGGTTACTGGAGGCGCGATTACTGGATAGAGATGAGGAAGAAAGAGCGTACGAGTCCTCCGAGAAAGTCCACATCGTGGGAGTGGACGAGGGGGAAACCGAGGAGGACTATACGAAAACGCCGCCATTTTCATGGAAGAAGCTGTGGCTCTTCACGGGGCCGGGGTTCTTGATGAGCATTGCTTTTCTGGACCCGGGCAACCTGGAGAGCGATCTTCAGGCGGGTGCGATTGCGGGGTACTCCTTGCTGTGGCTGCTGTTGTGGGCTACGGCTATTGGCTTGCTGGTCCAGCTCCTATCTGCCCGCCTGGGGGTGGCCACCGGAAAGCACCTTGCGGAGCTGTGCAGGGATGAATATCCCAGGTGGGCCAGGATTCTGCTGTGGGTCATGGCGGAGCTGGCTCTCATTGGAGCTGATATTCAGGAGGTGATTGGAAGCGCCATTGCCATCAAGATTCTCAGTCAAGGCTTCTTGCCTCTCTGGGCTGGTGTACTCATTACTGCTCTTGACTGGTAATTTTTTTTCCCTGTGCCCTTAGTTGTGTTTGATTCTCACCTTAAGCTAGATTAATCCTAAACTCCCATACCCCTGCCTAAGAGGTATTGGAGGAGGTAAATTGCGAGTGGCTCGAAAAGTTGTAGAAGGAGGTAAATCACGAGTTATAGGGATCCATCTCCATACTTTCGCCAACTTGGATAAGGGTCCAAACTCTAGCCTCGGGAGCCCTAGCTCCCGGACGTTGTTGGTGGGAGTCGAACCCCCACTCCCCACCCTACCGCTTGAGCTAGCTTCGTGGGGCGTGTGCCCTTAATTTGTTTAAGCAAAGAGTGTTTGTTGGTGGGAGTCGAACCCCAGTCCCACCCTACCGCTGGAATAGGACTTTAGGTCAGGTGGTTTACCACTTGAGCTAGTTCCGTGGGGCGTGTGCCCTTAGTTTGTTTAAGCAAAGAGTGTTTGTTGGTGGGAGTTGAACCCCAACTCCCAACCCTACCACTGGGATGGTGACTTAAGGTCAGGTGGTTTACCACTTGAGCTAGTTCTGTGGGGCGTGTGCCCTTAGTTTGTTTAAGCAAAGAGTGTTTGTTGGTGGGAGTCAAACCCCCACTCCCCACCCTACCACTGAAATAGCGACTTTACCACTTAAGCTAGTACCATGTGGCGTGTGCACTTAGATTGTTTAAGCAAAGAGTGTTTGTTGGTGGGAATCGAACCCCCACTCCCCACCCTATCGCTGGAATGGTGACTTTAGGTCAGGTGGTTTACAACTTGAGCTAGCTCTGTGGGACGTGTGCCCTTAGTTTGTTTAAGCAAAGGGTGTTTGTTATACTGTCCAAAAAAAAGTTTTTTGTCATACTCTTTTGTGACAGTATTTTACCAGTAGAGGGAAAGGAATGATTTTTATTATTCATTCCTTAATAGATCCTCTTACTAGTTAATGTTGCATATAGATTTTGAGAATGGAATAGTTTACATTGTTTTCTACTCTACATTTAGATTAAGGATTCAACTTATAACCTCTACTGCTTTTTACAGCTTCATCTTTCTATTTCTTGAGAACTATGGTGTGAGGAAGCTGGAAGCACTTTTTGCTTTCTTTATTGCTATAATGGGACTGTCATTTGCATGGATGTTTGGAGAGACAAAGCCCAGTGGTGTTGAGCTTGTTCTTGGTGAGAACATTACAAATTGATTTGAGCTATTAGCTCATCAATTGGTCTAAACCCATAATAAATGTTATTGTTAATGTAGGTGTTTTGATCCCAAAACTTGGGTCAAGAACAATAAAGCAGGCAGTGGGAGTTGTGGGGTGCATTATCATGCCTCACAATGTGTTTCTACATTCTGCTCTGGTACAATCCCGCGAGGTTGATAAGCTAAAGATTGGTAGAGTTCGGGAGGCGCTAAACTACTACTCGATCGAGTCTGCAGCTGCCCTCGCGGTTTCGTTCATCATCAATCTGTTTGTGACAACTGTGTTTGCTAAGGCATTCTTTGGGAGTGGGCAGGCTGAGAGCATTGGTCTGGGGAATGCTGGGCAGTATCTCCAGGAGAAGTATGGTGGGGGGTTGTTTCCCATTATTTATATATGGGCTATTGGGTTGTTGGCTGCAGGGCAAAGCAGTACAATTACAGGTACCTATGCTGGGCAGTTTATCATGGGGGGATTTCTGCATTTGCAGTTGAAGAAATGGCAGAGGGCATTGATAACTAGAAGCTGTGCTATTATCCCAACTCTTATTGTTGCCCTTGCTTTTGACACATCTGAGGACTTGTTGGATGTTCTGAATGAATGGCTCAATATTCTCCAGGCTATCCAAATCCCTTTTGCCCTCATTCCCCTTCTCTGTCTTGTCTCAAAGCAGCACCTCATGGGTGTTTTCACTATTGGCCCAATTCTCAAGGTGTGTTCTTTTTCTTTTTCCTTTTTTTAGTAACGAGGAAAACTGCAACCACTACTTGAAAGTGTGCAGGAGTAAATCCTGCCTTGTGTCTCTAGCCTATAAAGGACCACAAGGAAGTAAATTAGACTATGTTGTCCTGATCGACTCAACATGACCAATAGGTCGCTCTTACTGGAAGTCGAACTAGTAACTTTGACCAACTTGATTAGGGTTGCCATCTCAAGGTGTTTTCTTGCTTAATCTTGATGTTAAGAGTTGCACATTAAAAAATAAGAGAAACATATGAGTTTATAAAGTCAAAGGGTTAGAGCTAATAGGTGACTAGGTGACCCAGTCGGTGCCTAGGAGGTCTAGTCGGGCGCCTAGGAGGCTTAGGCGGGCCGGCCTGCAGTTTAGACCACCGATTATGGTGATACGCTATACGGCCAACCAGCACCTAACACCTAGGCGCCAATTAATCGCTGCCTAAGCGAGATTTTTACAGCACTAGTCATGGGTTAGAGCTAATTGATTGGATTTAGGTTTTAGTGTAGTTTGATCCACTTGGATTATAGAATGGTTAAGGGACATTGGCCCAATATTATATTATAACACTTGAAGATCAGATGCTCTTTAAAATTGGCATGAAATGATTTTGGATTGATGTTGGTTGGGGTTTTATGTGCAGGTAATATCATGGATTGTGGCCACCTTCCTGATTGCAATCAATGGATATCTTATGGTGGACTTCTTTTCTTCAGAAGTTAATGGAGTGGTGTTTGCATCTGCTGTTTTTGCATTTGCAGCTGCATATGTTGCATTCATAGTATACCTGGTTTCACGGGGCATACCATTTTCCAGAAACAAGAATTGATCCAAACAATCCCAAATTTACTCATTCCAGCATGGCTCTCTTTTGGGGCAGACAGTAGCATGTAAGCATTGACAAAAAAATTTCACCAAAAACAATAAAATTTATTGATTATGCCCCTAAGGCATTGGTATGGTGAATGAGAAGTTTCATTCAAGATTTGTTTTTAGTGGCATGGTTGGATTCCTGCCACGAAGAGTGGTGGTAGATTTGGGTTTGACTCCTTGTACGCAAAAAAGTAGTGTTAGTAGTCTTGAATTTCAATTAGCTCAATTTAATTCTTCATGTGTCTGATGCGAGTTTCTTTTTTACATGGCTTTTAATTTTAAATAAAGAGCTATAAATTGCAAATTTGACTCAATATATTCCATCTCATGTAAAAGTTCAACCTAATAAATTAGATTGCATGTTTATTACTTTTGAAACTAAATAAGGACCAATTGAAGATATAATAATTAAAAATCAAAATTACACTCTCTACAAATTAGAGATATAAAAAAATGGAATTTTCCTTTTTAAAAAAAAAAAAAAAAAAACCAATTGAAGAGTTAAAGACTATGGGTGTGGATGGGGGCAAATTATCCTGTGAACTACGGGTCAAAACGACGTCGTTGAATTTTATGAGTTAAAATAATGTACATTATGAATTATAATAATGTACTTGATGTGTTAGAATAATGTATATTATGACAATACCTTGTGGTCTAGTGGCATGAAGTGATTCTCCCAAATAGGAGATCATGTGTTTGATTTTCAGTGGAGGAGGTAGTGACTCTTTGTGCTTCAGTAGGTTGAGAAAATAATTATGAACAAATATTGCATTATAATAAATTCAGTAATACTAAAAAAAATATACTAAAAAAATTATGCGACATTATTTTTGAATTGCGGTCCACACAACACAATAACTATTGGTGGATGGGAGAGGAATATGGATGTGAATATGAACTGTTACTGAGGCCCAGTGGGCTCACCATTTTTTAATCTGAAAACTCATCTTAGATCAGAAAGCCCAAACACGAATGGACCCGAGTCTAAAATCACAATTTACATACTGAATATTTACAATTTTGTAAAAAGTAAATTGTGAACATTCGATATGTAAATTTATGTATTTTGGATTCGAATCCACCTTGCAAGATAGACCTGGGTCCACGTCTTTGTCCTTGAATTGGATGCATGCAAACACACACACGACTACATGTCAAGTAACTATCGACTATTAATGCTGACCTATGTTGTTTATTACTCCATTATTGTTGTTATATATTATTATCATCTAATAAAAAACAACATTATATTCAAATTCAAAACATGTAGTGGACTATCAATCCTAACCTATGCTGTTTATTGCTCCATTATTGTTGTTATCATCATTATTATTTCTTGATATATATATCTAATGAAAATTAAGATCAAGATAGTGTATTTAAATTTGTGTTTATTAAGTATAAGAAAATGTTACAGGTTGATTTACCTCCTTGTGATCATTTGCCGAAGTATGGTAGTCAAGGCCGATTTTTGGATTTTTATAGCTCCGTTCTTATAAATAAATGAGGTCCTACGAAAAGTATAAGCACAATCTTTAAAATCAATATTGTAAAATATATGATTTTTATTTCAAATAAGTATGAACAGTGTAACACAGTTGAATGCAAAAATCACAGTTCCTACTTCAATTCACTTCCAATTTAAATTAAAGTTAGAGCAACTAAAAGTAGCATACCTACCAATAGCCCTGAGTCCCGACCATGATTTGCCAGGTGATCTCCACCGAAGCGACGACGATCGATATAACAGTTGCAGTAGAAATTACGTCGGTCATGAGGTGGATTCTTGGTGCCAATAATCTAATAATCTATACTTATTATTGTGTTTGATGCATTGGTGGTGATTATTGGCGTTTGTGGAGATTGAATATGATGACAGTAATGAGTTTGTGGAAGGTGAGATGAAGGGTGTTGTTGGATCGATTTCTCATGCGATATTGGTGGTGAATAGTACAGGTTTCAAGTTATCTGTGCAGATTCAGGACTTGAGACATCATCTGTGCCCGCCGTTGGGGAAACAAAATGATTTTGTCACGCTCAATTAATTAGGTCCTAATTATTAGGAGAGAGAAGTGATTTGAAAAAAAAAAAAAAAACTGATGAGTTTTAGGATTAATTGTAGAATTTTTTATTATTATTATTTCTTAAGTAGCTAGGTCAAAAATAAATATTAGGCCCTCTAAAAATTGAGGCCATATGTTGTTGCCCATCTTGTACGGCCTAAAATCCGACCATGATGGTAGCAAGGTATTGTAGACTTCACCTAGAACGCACATTCGGGCTTCGGGTAGTAGCTACAGGTTTTCCTTCGTATCAAAGAAAATGTTACAAGTTTGAACAATGAAATGATGTGTTCCATCTCTAATACTAAATTGAAGGATGTGCTCCGTCTCAACTAAAATTTAAATTGATAGTTAGATTGCACATTTATATATGTTTTTATATTATATGTTCATCATAACTTTAATGAATTAAAAGTAATTATGTTGCATATAATTATTTACTATAAGATAATTGCCTCTCTCTTTGTAGAACGGTTTAGAAATTTGTTGTATTGATTTACTTATTGATTGGAATAGAGTTTTGATTGTGTGACATAGTATATTACATTCTTCACAGTTTCAAGAAAAACGAACAAAACTCTCTAAAATTCTATCGGATCAGGATGTGAGGAGTTTTGAGGGCAAAAGGCTTTGCCTTTTTGACGGGGATAAAAAAACACGAAATATATGAAATGTACGAAATTTATTATCAAATTGCAACTCAAATCCTATGACCAATATATGTTATTGTTATTGATGAAGGTTAAGAATGCATTTACTTTAATTAATTACCTAGTTTTTCTTTCTCCAGCTTCATTCTCTATTTTCTGAATAGGAGAAATGTACAAGTAAAGGAATTCTCTATTTTTCTTTTTTTCTTTTTTTCAAGTTTTCGTTTATGTAAAAACAAAAACAAAAAAATAAAAAATGTCTAGTAAACACTTTACATTAAGGGCATCCCCATCAAGGGTAGGTTTTTGAGGAGGCCAAACTTAGGTAGATCATAGATGAGAGGTTTTTGTTGAAAAACCTAGGTTTTTGTCAGATCTGTGGGCCCCACCAAGAAAGAAGAAAAGAAACGTTGCCTCGCGTGAGGCGTAAATTTCGCGCCCGGCGCAGTGACTGGGCGCGTCAATCTTTACTTTTTCTTTTCTTTTTTTCCCTCCCATCTCATTTCCTCTTTCCTAGTCAGACCTGCAAAAACTCATCAAAAACTACAACTATTGGAGATGCTCTAAGCACCGAACATCTATCTAGGGTTAATTAAAGTGAAGCTTCAATTCTAAGGTTAATATAAGATGGTTTAATGATCCATATATAGACTAATGATGCCATGCTTTCTTGAGACCAACCCCAGTTTGTACTTGCTTCCATTATTTTGTATTTCTTTGCTTTTGCTTTATTGAGTTGAATCCAGGCTACATCTGCCGCAGTGCAGCCAAGTCTAACTACCAGACCACTGTCCATCATAAATTTTGGTGATTTAAAATCCATTGGCTTGTTGGGGGGACCAATGCAAAAGTTCCCTTAGGGTTAACATGCTTCTCATGAACCTCATCATAACACTCTCAACCTTAGTTCTAACTCAAATAACTATTCATTACACTCAATCTACTAAAATAATTAAATAAAATTACTTAACTTTTCAATCTTTTCTTTAAATGAACTTTATTTAGTAACAAGTTGGAGAATGTATGGTGAAACGTCTAAGTGAGATAGATGGCAACAACACTACCAGTCTACCACCAACACTATCAATCACTTAGGTTTAAATGAGAGAAAGAATTGACCCCTAAACCCCAATAATTACACAAAACTACAAACAAAAAAACACATCTTTTTTAACTTTGTTCCAAAGCTTCAACACCCCCAATCATATCACCACTGCTTAAAGATATGATCCAAACAGCCCAGAAGACATGCAAAAACTACAACAACAATAACAATAATCCTGGGTGTTTCTTCTGCACCATGGCTGAACCAGATCCATCTGCAAGAAGATCCAGAATAGCCAAATGCTTTAGAGAATTGCCTCTCAGAGATGACAAAGAGCTGATGATCATCCTAACTGGTGTCTGGAGAATTGCTGTGGCTAAGCCCGATGACCCCGAGTTCCCGGCCCTAGGGCTCTTCCCTTGCATGGCTAAGCTCATCATCAATGACAGAAACTGCAATAATATGTCCATCCCATACTATGCAGCTCACATCATTGGCTCCTACACTATGAACTCCTCTGAATTTGCAGAAATGGCTGTGAGGGCAGGGGTTCTGACCCCATTGATGGAGCTTCTGAGAGGGAAGATGAGCTGGGTTGAGCAGAGAGTTGCAGTGAGAGCACTTGGCCACATTGCCAGCCACCGAGCCACGTTTAAGGCCGTGGCAGCAGCCCACGAATCGGAGATCGTAAATTTAGCCATGAAGATTGCCTCTAACTGCATAGAAACAGTGTACAATGAGTTTGTGAAGATGGGGAGTGAGGGGAGAATGGAATACCAGTGTGAATTAATGGGAAAAGGGGTTGGGGGATTGGAATTGCAGAACAAGAAAGCAGAAGCCTGGGCTACCCAGCTTCAAAGCTGGTCTCTTTACCTCCTCAACTGTTTTGCCAGAAAGAAAAGATCAATCAATCTGATCTGCAACCAAGAATTCCTGACAGAACTCAGCTCCATCTGGGGAGGACTTGAAAACCAGAATTCATTTTCTGGAATTTGCCTAATCAGAACCCTTTGTCTCACCCAAAACGGAAGAGAAAGCATAGCTAACTCCCCTCATCTCCTCAAAACCCTCTGCAATCTCTCAAGATCCTCAGATGATTCCCAAATAAAAGCCATCAAAATCCTGCTATCACTTCTCCAGGATCCCAATACAAGACCCAAAACACTGCAAATTTCTGCGCCATTTCTCGTCGATTTAGTAGAACTCAGAGCCATCAGAGGAAGATCAAAGCTAGGCGATCAGATCGCAGAGCTTCTCTTGCAAGACTACGCCAAGTTTAAGGTTGAAAAATCTGGGTCACTGAGTCACTGTAATTTACCCCACCTCGGGCCAGAGGGCGAGGGAATTTCGCCTTTTCTGGAAGAGGCATGGGAGTTGAAGGTGGGAAGAAGAAAACCAGACGAATTAATGTCCGAACGGGAACTAAAGCAGAGGAGAGTAATGGTTTCCATGCTGAAGAAAGAAGGGAACCAGAAATTCTGGGCAGGGAGAGTTGCAGAAGCGGTAGTAATTTACAAGAAAGCTCTGGATTTGTGTCCATTGAAACTGAGAAAAGAGAGAATCGTTCTTCACAGTAACAGAGCCCAGTGTTTCTTGATCCAAGGAGAAGCAGAATCCGCCATTAGAGACACAACGCGAGCTCTGTGCTTATCAGGGCAAACCAATAATCCCCACCTGAAAAGCTTGTGGAGAAGATCGCAGGCGTTTGATATGAAAGGGATGGGCAGAGAGAGCTTGATGGACTGCATGCTGTTCATTAACGACAAGGGGAGGAGAGGCATGAAGATCCCCTACTACGCCATCCGAATGTTGAACAAGCAGATGAATGCCACGTGGATTTTCGCCGCCGCCGCCGCCGCGGCGGCGGCGAATGATGAAACGCAGAGGCCCATCGTTTTCTTTGAAAATGGTAAGACGAAAGAGGAGGAGAAGAAGAAGAAGAAATTCATGGATGGTAAGCTGGAAAAACTGATTGGAAATGGCGTGCATCAAAAGAAAGGGCTATGGAGGAGGATTAGCATCAAGAAAAACAACGGATTGGATCGCCGGAGCTCTGTAGATTTCTAGATTTATTATACGTTGGCCGTGAATTATACTGGTATAGTAGTGTTATTTAGTGATGTAAGATTTACTCCGACATACATTTTCGACTAAAGATTGCACCATTAATCTTCACCAACTTTGATCGTCATTCTTAATGATTCTTGTCATTTTTCACTTCTGATGCTCGTGGCTAGAAGAGAAGAGTTCAGTTAGTACGATGATGTTTTTTGTTTTTGTTTTTTTTTTTTGTTTTTTTAAGTGTGTTAAGCCATGATTACTTCTTGAGAACTTATGTTGTGTTTGGAATCTTCGGATGGTGAAGACTAAAATGGGGAAGAAAATTTTAATGAAGCTATTCATGTTTGAGAATTGTTCTTCTCCTCCCAAAAGGATGAATCATCAACTCAAGGTCCTCACATCCCGACCCAACCTAGCATTTAGCAATCGTTATATCATGCATCAGGTGCGCAATGTATTTTTTTAAAAAAATATTTTTTGAAAAATTTCAAGAAACTCATTTAGAAGTTGCGTTTCTGACAAGAAACACATATCTGAAATGAGTTTTTTTCAAAATTGCCACTTTTTAAAAACCTTCTTATTTTTGTCATTCATTCAAGTATCATATTTTTGTCTTTGACCCGGTATTATACACATGTCGTTCTTATGTTTTTTAGTTTGGTTCATATCAAAACTAAATGAATGGATTAATATTTTTTTTTTTAAACCAGAAGCTTTAATCATTGAGTTGTTAGGGAAATTTGTTAGTCCCATACGTTAATGATTTTTGACTTCGCGTTTTATGCTTCTGTGACATGTTTCTTATGTAAAGCGTAAATTGAAAAATTTTAATATAAAAATATTCTTAAAATGTTTATATTATGAACTAAATACTTGAAATAACTTTTTGAGGAATATAATTATTGTGTCTATAGTTTAACATCAAATACATTTCTTTTCATTACTTCCTCAAAAATTTAATTGGTAAAATAGTACCAAATGACCTCTTAGTTACTTCATAATTATATTCGCTCAAACAATTTATAAGCACAATCAAGTTTTTATATTTTTAACATATATAATAATAATAATAATAATAATAATAATAATAATAATAATAATAATAATAATGAAATATATATTAGCGCAGCACACAATGATGTTGAAACTGACGTTGTAACACAAACGATCTGTAACGCAGTTCGGGCAAACAACCCTAATCTGCGAGGCACTTCTCAATTTGAGAACTTGCCTAAATCCACTAAAAGCTCAATATTTAAAGTACACTGTTTGGAACCTGAGATTACACAATAGAATGATCTTTCCTACCAAACTATTGAAACCTAAACACATGTACTACTTTCTAGGGGAATTTAGTATCCTATTCTCAAAGACTCTCGTACCTCACCAGATTAATGTTGAATGCTTGAGTTTTACAAGAAAGGACAACCCCTATTTATAGTAGCTATTCCTAACAGATTCGTGAATAATAAAGCTATTCCTAATCAGACTAGAACTAAACACTTCAATAACAATTCCCTTTAGAACTAGTACTCTTCAATAACTACTCCTCTTAGGCTTGGTATTCCTTTATAGATCTGGTATTCCTTTTGCACATAACTTTGACAAAACACTTTGAGTCAACAATCTCTCCCTTTGTCAAATTTTTGGCAAAAACCTTGATCTCATAGTGGCTTGATTTTCTATTCTTCTCCCCCTTAGTTGATTCTTCTCTCCCTAAACTTGATTCCTGGAGTTCTTGGAAAAAAAAAAACTTGAAACTTGTATTTGAATGTGTGAGTGAAGAGAATTCTTCACTGTCTCTATACATTTTACCAATGTGTGGTAAAGTAGATCCACACAGTCACAAAAGTAGAGGATTTGATCATAGATAAGTTCAAGTGGTTTTGGATCTGTAAATCAAATTTCGCCATTCACGGAGGGCAAAGCCCGCATCATGCATTTCATTTGGAAGAGGAAGCACCGGGCCATCAGAGATGAATATTCCGGTGGAATCTTCTCCGAGATCATATGGATTTCCATTGCCGTTTGAAACCGGAACGGTAGAGGATCCGAAAGCTGGGTGCGGATCCGACCCGAATCCATAGGGATCGGGACTGTGGACGGATTGAGGAAAGTGCTCAACTGTCACTTCATCGTACTCTCCCGGAAATCCCCCGGCTGATTGGTACGGTGGCGCGTATCCGCCGTAACCGCCGTCATCAAACGGCGGAGGAGCCGTTCTGACGTGCTCATCCATGGTAGATACATCGAAGATGCTGATTTCCCCGTCTTCTTTGATTTTCTGGTGATCCTTCGCACCAGGCTCTCTTCTGGGTTGTTGAGGTAGCAAGAAAATGAAGTTACCCGAAGACTCATGTCATTGGCTTCCATGGAGATTATTATAATAACCGGACAGTAACGGGTTTTGATTGGAAATCAGTTTCGTACTTGTATTCATTTATACAAACCCCTCTCGCATTTGGGTGCGCCTCAACTGTTCGACAGAATTTCGGAGTCATTGTAAGTGCAATCCAAACTTCATATTTTGTTCACATATGTCATAGCTCAACTTTATACCCCAATCATGTATATCTGTTACAGTTTAAGGCTTCATCAATGTTTTTTGGGATCAAACTTGGAGGTGTGGCAGTATACTCCTTTTATTTTGTGGAAATCTTGTTTCTTTCCTCTAGTCTTTATTCTTTGATTGAGATCTCCCATGATATTTTCCAAAGGATGATTTTTCTGATTTTTTAAGACAGTAGGATGACTTTTATCCTTTTCTTCATTTGGCTCTGTTTCTGTTCTGCAATTCTGCATATCATTAGTCAGAGGTGTTGGAACAGTTGTTTCAACAACTCTTGGACTTTTGTCATCATCAGTAGTTATTGCTGGAGTTACATCATCAATGATCACTATTTGATGAATAGCCTGGGGATGCTCCTTGGTCATGAAAATTTATGTGTCCCATACGTTGGTGCCATAATTGTGTTTGACTGATGGTTGTCTGTAAACCGGATAGATCACTATCCCATGTGTAGCATTTGTTTGTAGACCTTTTTCCCATCATGACACAATCATGATTCTGATTAAACACATTGCAACTGTCTCTAGAGATCATTTTTGTACTGGATGTTCTCAAGATTTTCTGAATTTCCAGTCATATGTCTTGAACATCCGCTGTCAAAGTACCATATATCTTGCTCTTTGTTTGTTTTGGAGGTATATGCAACATTTTGGTCTTTTCTTACCCAGATTTTCTTACTATTATTTCTGTTCTGTGTTGGCCACACTCTGTTGTTTTGTCTGTAGTAAAGATCATTCTGTCTCTTGTAGCAGTGAGTTTTGATGTGTCCTAGTTTGCGGCAATAGTAGCACCTTATTCTTCTTCGGTGTCGGAAGTGCTGTTGTGACACTTCCTGTGTCTCGGTTTGATGATTCTCACTAGTGTCTGTGCTTGGAGTCCTGGGTCTTTCGGTAAGCTCCTTGATTTCTTGTAGAAGTTTAGCTTCTTTGTTTTTGAAGTCTAATAGTTCGTTTTGAGCTTCTTTGTATTGTTTATCTATTCGTTCTTTTTCATTCTTCAAATAGTGATTATCTTCCATGAGTTCTAAATTTTTCTTGATGATTTGCTCCCACTTGGCATTTAGTTGAGTGTATGCCTCTAGTAACTCTTGCATGTCATCGCTATTGTTGCTTTCATGGCTAGCGGTGAAGGCTACGAAATTTGTGTTGCTATCATCTTCTTCACTATCTGAGTCGTCGCTTAGGGTTGATATATATGTTTTATTTTTCCTTTTCAAGTATGTGGCACATTCTGATTGGATGTGTCCAAAACCTTTGCATTCATAGCACTGTATTCCTTCTGTATTTGAACTGTCTCTTCTTTTTGAAATAGATTGATTTTGTCCAGTTGGGAAGTCCCCTTGATTGATTGAAGCACTTTTGTTTCTAAATTTGTTGAATTGTTTGAGAACTCTGTTGAAATTCTTTGTTAGGAGAGCAATTGATTGTTCCATGGTTTCAGTATCAATTTCTGGACTTCCTTTCTGCTTTGATTGGAACGCAATTCCTTTGTCATTATCTTTCCCTTTTTGCAGTATCTCAAGCTCATATGTTTGAAGATTTCCCATTAGATCACTCAGTTTGTAGGTGTTTAGATCTTTATGTTCTTGAATAGCGGTGACTTTCATTTGGAATCTTCCGGGTAGTGAGCGTAGTACCTTTTTGACGATCCTATGTTCGGGTATAGGTTCGCCTAAGTTGAATGCATCTCCGGATATACTTAAAACTCTGGCACTGAATTGGGTGATGCTTTCTTCCTCTTCCATTTTCAGGTTTTCAAATTCAGTTTGTATCATCTGAAGCTTAGATTGTCTTACAGTTGTGTTTCCCTCATGATGATCGCACAATATACTCCACGCAATTTTGGCTATGCGAGTAGAGGCAATCAGTTTGAAGGTATCTTCGCTCACAGCTCCATAGATTGCATTCATTGCCTTCGAGTTGAAGTTATATTCTGTTTTTTCTTCTTCACTCCAGTCAATTTTAGGTTTTATGTTTCCTTTATCATCAACTGGAGTTTTCCATTCGTTTTCTATAGCATTCCAGACACCTTCTCCTTGTGCCAAGATGTATATTTGCATTCTGGCTTTCCAGTAGGAAAAATTCGTGCCAATGAGGGCAGGTGACCTAGTGTTTGACAGTCCTTCTCTGGGAAACTCCATTAGGATCCTGCTAATAACTTAAGCAGTTTGGCTCTGATACCAATTGAAATATATATTAGCGCAGCACACAATGATGTTGAAACTGACGTTGTAACACAAACGATCTGTAACGCAGTTCGGGCAAACAACCCTAATCTGCGAGGCACTTCTCAATTTGAGAACTTGCCTAAATCCACTAAAAGCTCAATATTTAAAGTACACTGTTTGGAACCTGAGATTACACAATAGAATGATCTTTCCTACCAAACTATTGAAACCTAAACACATGTACTACTTTCTAGGGGAATTTAGTATCCTATTCTCAAAGACTCTCGTACCTCACCAGATTAATGTTGAATGCTTGAGTTTTACAAGAAAGGACAACCCCTATTTATAGTAGCTATTCCTAACAGATTCGTGAATAATAAAGCTATTCTTAATCAGACTAGAACTAAACACTTCAATAACAATTCCCTTTAGAACTAGTACTCTTCAATAACTACTCCTCTTAGGCTTGGTATTCCTTTATAGATCTGGTATTCCTTTTGCACATAACTTTGACAAAACACTTTGAGTCAACAAATAATAATAATATATTCACCTAATTACAATTTTTATTATTTCATTTATTTATTTACCAACAATTCTTGATCAATACTACCTTAACTTTTCCAATTTCCATCTATGTCAAGTCGAGTTTGAGTACAAAAGATGGTTGAACTTCAAGTTTAAGATATTAAGTTGAGGCAAAACTCTAACATCATGTTTGGTTCATAAAATAAATTGAAAATGATATAATATTTTTAAGAATAGATATATTTTACTATTTGTTTTAAGAAAAAAATTACATTTTTTGTCCCTAAATTATAGGGTAATTGTATAATTCGTCCCGGAGTGTTGCTCATGTTTACTTTTCGTCCCTAAGTTATCACTGGCGTTGCACTTTTCGTTCTTTCGTATTCACTTTTCGTCTCTGAGTTATACTAAAATTGTAAATTTCATCCCTAATATTTTATTAGTAAAGAGACGAAAAGTGCAACGTCAATGATAACTTTGAGACGAAAAGTGAGTATTACCAACACTTAGAGACGAATTCTACAATTACCCTATAACTAAGGGACGAAAAATGTTATTTTCCCTTGTTTTAACACCTTATTCTTAGGAATAATATTCCTAAAAATGAGCTATTTTAGCTCTATAAGGAGAATATTCATTACCAAGAGACTCCTAGTATTATATTATATATATATTCTCAAGTATTCAAGAATATCTTATTTTTCTTCTCCTTTTTTTTAAACACCCAACAAAAAACCGTTTTTACAACACATGCTTATATTTTGTGTGTGTATTGATGGAGCCATGGGGCATAGATTGCTGGACAAGTTGATGGATGGGATTTTTCAATTGGCCTGGATGGTATCCCGGCGCCTGGTTATGGATGTGGATAGTCGTTGCCTACCACCGCCAACCCCGACTTACCGTTGAGAGCGGTTGTATACGGGCATTAAAGGTAAGGGTGTGTTTGGAAAACATAGAAATGGAGCAAAACAAGAAAATACCCAAGGGGGGAAAGGCGGTTCGCCCGACCAATGCCCACAACTTATACACCCAGTCCGATGAGGGTTGGCAGATGATGGTTAGCCTTTGTAGACTAGAGCGGACCAGCACTGGCCAGTCGCGAATCAACTTTGGTTGAGGTGCCCACGACAGCCCTTTGCCCAAAAACCAAGTCGTCTGCCAACTTCCAGTTTGCTCGCATCGGGTCCGACCAGTCGTGGCGTTCGACTAGATGGGTCCAATCGGTGGAGGACACATATAGGTGAGGGTGGCGGATCGCCGAAGCAGGTGATAGAGTTTAACAATTATTACCCAAATGTCATAATTATTAATCATCCTATAAATATTACCCGAATTTTCAACTATACTTTTTAATATATTATGAATTCTACAACTATGGATTATATGATTTTAAAAAATTATATACTATTATTTTTAAAAAAATATTTCAATATACTCCGTAATAATTATAATTTTAACATTGAATACTAATATTAGGTATTTATTTTTTTCCATTGCACATAGAAAAGACTAGTTATACTTATAAATACAAACATAGATGGAGCAAATATTTATATCCGTTCTCCTATAAATTTAGTATGCTTTTTGGAATATGCAAAATGTTTGATAAGCGTATAAGATATTAATTTACTTCATGTTACACACAATCAAAATTCAAAGACAATATTAAGTAACAATGTTGAACGGGTAATAATCTCAAAAAGTAGTTTGGAAAGATGGCGTTGTGGATTTGTGGGGGAGGAAATCTATGTTAAAAAATTTATATTTTAAAGATGCAACTTGTGTTTTGTTTTGGTTTGGTTTGATTAGGATGTTTTTGTCCAAATGATTTTCTTTTCTTTATTATTTTTTTTTAAAGAGAAGGTACAAAGAAGTCAAACTATTGCTCAAGAATTAAAATTCTAGAAAGGACAAGTGGTTCTTCTCATTTCATAACTTAATATGTATACTTATCACAAGTTGCTAAAAAAATGATAAACAATATTGGGAAAGGTAAATAATATAGCTGGTGCTTGTCCAATAAAAAGTTGCATCCCTTTAATTATTGAACCACCTTTGAAATATAGTGATTAGGCTGAATGTCTTGCATACCTAACACACTAGTGAAGATTTTGGACAGATCCAAAACCCTGTTTGATTTTACACGTACTTGTCTTCTAGGGTTTTGAGATGGAAAAAGACTTTGTGTCAAAACTTGAAAATCACGTCAAAATAATCACAAGATTTGATTTCACGTTTTGTAATAAGCAGTGGAAAGTAAGAAAAAGTAGGCAATAAATTAAAATTTTTAATATATATATAGGTTCATAATCAGGTACGAATAGACCTTAACGTGCAAACCTGCGAACTACTGAGGCTTGAAGGATTCCACCACAACTACTATATGATTGCACCGCAAGGTCTCTCCAAACATGTCTGCCTGTTTGGGAACCGTTGCGGTGCAATCATGTAATAGTTGCAATACAATCCTTCAGTAGTTCGCAGATTCGCAGGTTAACACCAATTCACACCTAATTACAAATATATATAGACTAGTTTAAGTAAGTTGAATGCAAGACTCCTGCTGAATCAAATAGATAATGGTACACATTATGGTTACATGTATACAGAGTAATAACACAGATTGTTAACTTAAACCCAACATACAATTTGCATTGGTGTTTTTTTGTCAAATGTTGCCTTTGCTCAGACTCTATCTCTAGTATGTGTGTGTCTGTGTGCTTTGACTGTCACATCTACTCATAAAAAATAAAATTAAAAAAAAAAAAAAAAAAAAGTCTAGCTTAATCTTGTTAATAGAAGCTCAGTCTGAAGAGTAACTTAGAGCGGCGATAACCGATCCCGTCGTCTCGAATGCTGACGACACATCTGCGTAGCCTTTCCAGGATGTATTCACCTTCAGGGCTGGGTACAACCACTTCTTTACAGAAGATATAAAGGAGCTAGGATCAGACTCCAGGATCGCTTCCCAATCCAACTGCAGACCTTCTGGAATGCTCCCCGTGAATTCCATATTAGCCGCGAGTAGAAGGCCAAGCAGAACCACAAACCCGACAACAGCGGATCCTCTGGAGAGTGGCATGAAATTATACCTAAAACATAATAAGAAAGAAAAATGTGTAAAATGAGAATGAATTCCCAAGTGGCCATGGCCTTGAAACAAGTACAAGCCAAATTTTCTACCAGTAGAATGTCATTCTCAAGATTGCATCTCTGACAGTTTCTAGTGCTTCAAGTTTAGTTGAACCATATGTCTCACCGCAGTAAACATCACATAATGCCTGCATATTTATGTCGGATGTGTTATTGTGGTGATATAGCAGAGGTCATGTATGCATGCATAGAGAAACTGGTGCAAACTCTCCATGTCCTCACCGACTAGGAGGCTAGCACTGATCTCTCTAAAATGTCAACTAGATAAAGAAAAGCTTGAATGATGCATGTGAGAATGTGGAGCATCTAGTTAAATTACTTTTATCTACTTACAAACTATCAGTAAATTGTTACAAGCACAATGCACGATATACACATTAATCCATAGAATTCATCTAGAGAGATGTGTACACATTAATCCATAGAATTCATCTAGAGAGATGTGTACCTCCCACGCTGAAGTCATTTCCGTGTCAAAGGCATCCCACCTTGCAGGTGTACTTGGTGTTCTTATTGAAAAGTCATATCCAACTTCACCCCTGAAAAGGAAATACATAAACAAACACAAAAGAAATCTGAATCAACAAGAGAGAGAGAGAGAGAGAGAGAGAGAGTTCTATACATTTTTACTACTGTGATTCTTGTCCCTTCAAGGCGCTTCCTGAAACAAGGAAAAGCACAAATTAATGACAAGAGAAGGTGATAACATGAGAATGGCAAAGTAAATATGAAATCACTGAAAATAATACCCCTCAAATGCCATGCTGTGGCACCAGGTGGCCAACCAGAAGTCCTCACCAATAACTCTATAAAGATCATGGCAAGATTCGGCACTCATGATCTGCAAATTTTTATTCAAACATTAAGTGTTTTTTTAATATATATTTCATCAATATTTGGAAGAAAATGGTATTCTGGAGAAATATAATAACAGGATTGAACTACGGGATTCAATAACAAGGACGGGTCAAAAACAAGAAACAGTATGAACTAGAAAAGAGAAATTGAGAGCTGCCAGAAATCAGCTCCAGACTATAATAAAAGGCAGTTAGCAAAGACTATTTGAATTTAGTACAATGTGTGAACTGAAAACTTCTTGCTCATTTCCAAAGCATCAAAAGTTTTCATCTTGTTTCATTTTCATAGCAACATGATGAAAATGGTCTTTCTGCAACTCACCTCCTGCAATTTCCCATTCCCAGAAAGATCAAGAAGGTTGTCTTTCTTGTCAAATACAGACTTGTTCTCCTTTATGACTGCTTTGGCAGCATTCAGTGTTCTGCATAAATCATAATAGAAGTGTTAAGAACTTCTACAAAAGGTATGGCAGCAATAAAATGCATTACCATCTTACCTCTTAAAATTTGGATAGTAGCGAGCCACTTTGGCTTGCCCAAGAATGAGGGGAGTGTGAGACCCAAATCCAGAAATGAATTCCTCACTACAGACAACGATGTTGAAAATTTCATGAAAACCCAGAACAGCAACAAATTCAAGATATAATAGGCATTTATGTGCATGAAGCTACACTAATTTCCAAATAACAATAGCATTATGCAATGTCATTCAGGAATCTCCTTCACAGGTTTGTCCATTAACAATTGGGATGTGAACAGGTTATAAGATTGAGAAAGAAAGTGAGAGACTAAGGCAATCCCATAAACTATAATGACTAAGCTAATGTAATCAATATTCAACATTAAAACCATAAAGCCAATACCTTCTAGGTGGAGGGTTATGAAAATACCCATATTCTTTTTTTTTTTTTTTTGAAAATAAAAGAAAATACCTATATTCTTATTAACACTCTAGGTTAAACACAATGACTTTGACCCACAAAGGTATCCAAGCAACCATCAACTAAGTTACCCTTGAGAGATACAAATCACAGAATACATAATATTAGCAAACACCAAAAGATCCTATTTAACAAGAAATCTAAAACGTCATATCTTTCTACAAGCAAATAATCAATAGCTAATTCAGAGAATCAGAGTCCCATTTAAAACATTTAAAAACATCATCTCTCATTGGCATAGGCTAAGACTTCATCAATGTTCAGTATCCTGTGTATTAATTTCTGATTTTGAAGTTCATCTGTTTTTATTAGTAACAGTTGCAATCAGGTAGTTCTTCCAATGCTAGTTAAGGAAAATAGACAGCAAGTTCAGTACCTTAATTTGTTTATCCAGACAACTGGATCACATGGTTCAGATATTTGTCTCCATTTAACAGCTAAAGAATACAAATCCTGCCATGACATTGTAGGGCGTCCAGCTGGTCTGTCATCTGTTGATGTTTCTGAGAAACTGCTAGTACTACAACCAGCACCACCTCTGTTTCGACTAGGAGGATTTATCCTTTCCTTCCTCCGGGCTCTCTTGCCACTTTTAGTTGTGCCTTTATTTAAATGTTTCCATTCTACTTGTATAGTACGCCAAACTCTTGAAATTTTTTGTGCAATTTCAATAGCTGCTAAGCCAGCCATCCGATGCTGATAAATTCAAATTTCATAGGATGATTTTAGAGATTGAAGGAATCAATGCATGCAAAAGCAGTAAGACATGACATCAAATAGCTAGGCAATGGCAAACACTAAGACATCTGTCTGTTGACGCAACTCTACCACGTAAATAGAAAACAACAATATTAAATGCTTGGTCATCAATACAATGAAGAACAATGCAGATCTCAACTTTCTGTCAGAGCCACAGCATATTAAACAGAGGGTTGTTACAATCCCCGAAAAATTCAATATGGTATTGTGATAAGAGAAAGATTTTAGTAGTTTAGGCACATGAAACAGTCAGCATCATGCTTTCCGTATCTCCTCCTCCCACAAAAGAAAAGGAACATTTAGATTGATTGAAAATGGGATGGTGTAAGAAAAATCAATTTTGTTTAAGTGTGTAACATCAAATTATAGGTTGTGGAATGAATCTACTGCATACAAATGTAGAAACAAATACTGAAGATCTTTTATAAAATGCACGAGAAAGAATATTTATGCACTCAAAACTAGACAGGACATTGAAGCTTGAGAATAAATCTTTAAATCAATCACCTGACGTTTATTGGGCAAGAAGCCAGGACAATTATATTGGATCTTCCTCCCAATAGAATCTGCTGCCTGTAGAAGTGCAAGTGTTTGCTTTGTTGAGGCAAAATGTAGCGTTTTTAGCTTTCCCTTCTTCAAGGAATCCTTCAGGGGAGGTTGCCTATAAACTTTTTCGCACACATCTTTAGGGTGGAGCCTTTTGCACCAATATTCCTAGATAAATAAGTCAAAATAAAAATGGTAAGACAAAGATTGGAAGACCATAAGAAATAAAATCAACCAAAATCAGGAAATATATAGTTTCTCAACTCAGCCAGAAAAGACCTATATATCCATGTATTAACCTGGCAACCATTCCATGCAGACCAACAATACAGACAATTTAAGTACCAAAACCCAAATCTACAGCTAATTACAAACAGGAACTAGGATTTAACTGTTGTAAGATACCAATTCTCTTACTAACCAGGTTCATAAAAAAGCTACCTGAAAAAAGAGCATACCAGTCTCCTCAAGCAATATATACAAACAAACATATAAATACTTAAGAAGATAACAAGTGTCTAGTTCCATCCATATACAACATGTTTAAAAAAGAATAACACAATTTCATTTCGAAACAACAAAAGATTAAAAGCCAGCAACATATTCAATATACAACTAGCTTGTATAGGCACATACTACTTTATATGTTACCTTAAATAGGGGATCAATATCTCCATCAATATCAAACCAACAAAATTCACTGTTGAGCTTTGAAGCTGTATATAATACAATTTCTTTCTGCAAGAAAAGATTGTAAAGTAAATGGGTAGTAAAGACTAAAACATAAAGTGGCAGCTACTATTCCTTAATCAAGGCACAAGGATTACCACTCTGGAATACAACCAAACAAGAGGAGAATTGAAGTCTAAAATGTTAAAAGACTCATTAGAATATGTACCAAAGAGCACTGCAACTGAAGAATCCATTACACAGTTATATTTGGGTTCAGAACCAAGCAATAAAATTGGAATAGTGAGCCAAATTAGGAAGCAAAGCCAAACTCTCCCACCTACCAATCAGCAGCATACTTTAAAATAATGTTATGCTTATCTCAAAACACTTGTCCAAACAGCTAGATAAGTACAACAAACACAGAATAGAATGCCATTTTTTCTCCTAAATAAATGGTTGAGGTTGCAAATTTTGGCTGATTGAAACAATCAAACAAAACTGCATGTTATATTTATATTTTACTCTTCATGTACTAGCTGGTATTCAGTCCAACTGTACCTGAAGTCAATACAAGCTTTAACCAAAATTTAAAGAATCTTTGGGAAGACAAGAAAGAAGAGTTTCTCCAGCAACAAGGGAAGATGGCAAGAGAAAGAGTAAATAAAAGAAGCAGCAAGAATGCATGTTTGAGTATTTCTACAACAATAACAACAATAAAATTTTATAAAGAATCAACTACCTGATAGAAGGCCAAGCACTGAAGTACAAATTTTTCCATTGAATCTAATTCCAGATCCAAAGCAGCATCATAATCCTTTACCTACAGCATGAATGAAAATCATGGAAGTGAATCCAGAGAACAAACGAATATTAAATGTTTCAGATCTTTAAGCCAAAAGAAGAAAACTGATTTCCCCATACTGCATCTTTATATTCCCCAATGGCATGATAGCAAGAACCTCGCAAATACAAGCACTCAACATTTCCACTATCAAGAGTTAGCCCCACAGATAGATCCTTGATAGCATTCCTGCAACAGTCAGTGGATGCAAGTAAACCATAGGAACCCATTGTTGAAGATAAAGAAATACATAGGGCATTAGGGCCTGTGATTCAAACTCTTTTTTCTCATTTCAAAAACAAAAAACCACAGTTGGAAAATTCTTTCAGAAGCATTATTAAAAATAAAGGTCAAAACAAAAACATGTCAAAGGGTGTCACTACCAGTTCTATTATTGTTTCAGCCCAAAACGTTCAAACACAAAGGACTTAAGAACCTCACATAAGGTTCACACTAGACTTGGCAATTATGGACATGACACGAAACTGGACACGAAAATAACGGGGTAGTGTTTAGCCTTAACGTGTCCCGGGTCGTTAACGGGTTGACCTGTTAAGGACCCGTTATGTTTCGTGTCTTAACGGGTCAACCTGTTAAACCTATTAAGAACCCGTTTAACCCGTTAATATTATCGTGTTAACCCGTTTACACAAACCTATTTATAACCCGCTAAGAACCATTGTCATGAGATTACAAAAGATATCATGGACTTAAGTATATGACTAAGGATGAGTTTACTACATTAGGCTAAAATCCAACACCAATTATTGATGTTCAACAATCTGAAATTTGAATTTTTATTGTGTTCAATTTTATTCTAAAAACTAGCATGGACTTCTTTAATTATGATTTTTGGATGTTATTTTATCATTTTATAAATGTTATAAATTGAATATTTTTTTAGTTTGATGGATTGAATTGTAGGTTTTATTTCTTTTTATATATAACTTAACTTTAAATTTTAGTTTTTTTAATATATTAATAGGTTTAGCGGGTTTAAACGGGTTTCGTGTCATATCGTGTCGACACGACCCGAAACCTGTTAACAAAACGTATCTATCGTGTCAATCCATTTAACCCGTTAACAAATCGTGTTCGTGTTAAAAATTTGAACCCGTTAACCTTAACGTGTCGTTATCGTGTCGACCCGTTAACGAACCCGTATACACGAAGTCTAGTTCAGACATCCCTTTACCAATTGATAAAGGGATGAAGGTGCAAAATTATGAAAATATCAATGACGTGATCAGAGATCATAAATGCCATCCTCTAGCTTCAATATAACCCACAATTCCATGACTCACCCACCACCTTCAATATCTACTGCTTTTGATATATATATATATATATATATATATATATATATATATATATATATATATATATATATATAAGTTTCCAGATCCCTACCTGTGCTCTCCCATCCCATGGAGAAGCAGCCCACGCATATGATAAGCTTTAGCAAACCTATTCCAAAATGGAAAAAGGAAAAGTGAAAAACAATGCTCAAGCTTGATCTTTGGCTTTGGATCATAAAAATAAAAAAAAAAATTAAAAAAAAAAATAGATTTCAAAATTAGATGCACAAAAATGCTGATATACCCTGCATCAATTTGTAGAAGTTGATGCAGGCATTCCAAAGCCTTTGCAGAATTTGCCAAATCTTGATAATACTGCCAAAAAAAAAAAAAAAAAAAAAAAACAGGAGTTCATCACCACTGAAACAACTGGAGAAAGTACAACTGATGCATGCACTATATTTATAATAAATAAACAGGAATTTTAGACATTATTAAAAATCCAGGTAATTGGCCAATCACACTGAATTTCTTGTAGTACACAAATATAATGCTAATTCAAGAAGTATGAAAAGTGTGATAGAAGAAAGGAAATTCAAACAAATAAATATGTAGAAGTGGTCATTTGTTCACCAGAAAACTGATGCCCATTTATATCATTACTTTCGGATTGAAACTTCATAACATATTCATGTATACCTGTGTTAGATGAGCCCAGGCCTCAACAAAATTAGGGTCTATGTGAATTGCCTTCATGTGTGCCGCCTCAGCCTTTTTATATTCGCCAATTGAGGCTAATGCCAAGCCCTATAAACGTTGACATTTTTCAAACAGCACTAATTTATCATACAACAATTTCAAAGAGATGCATGTAAACATAATTCATTCTACAAGTATTAGTATTTAGTAGACATAACGGACTCACCAAATAAGTGTGCGCAGATTTGTTACTCTTATCAAGCTTTACACAGGAGGAGAGGTCTTCAGCTGCAGCTTTGAAATCCTTGAACTTAAAGTTCACAATTCCTGCACATAGTTCAATCATTTAATCGCACTTTGGACATCTATCATTGACTGCAATACATTCAAGACTTTGTGTACTCGTGTGGTTGTGCCAGGACATGAATCAGATGTATTAAAGATTGTATCATTACTATGAAAGTGGGCCAACATATATTGATGCCAATGAGATGGAGTACAAAATGAAACAAACACAGACATAATCCTCAATTATGCAATGTAGTTTTGAAGAGGACCAAAAAAAAAAAAAAAAAAAAATTAAGGTCCCTCATATGAATATACAAGTAAAATGAAACCTAAGGTACCAAGGAAATAACATTTGATATGCAAGTCTGATGAAATTCAAGGAAAATTACCCCTTTCATGTAATATGTCAGCTGAGTTTGGCTCAAATTCTAAAGCTTTAGTCAAATCTGCAATTGCCTGGTATTAAAACATAGTCAGATATCTCATGCACATTATATAAGACTTCTGTATTCAAATATGAAGTCTTCAATCATAAAATCATTATTCTCAATGGCTACTGCACTTCCTTTATGAGTAGAGCATTCTAGGAATCTGATAAAAATCTCACCTCGGCAGATTCACCCAAGGCAGCACGGGCCTGCCCTCTGCGTTTCCATGCCTCACCTGCTGATGGATTTGAGTCTATGGCCTATCAGAACAGCAAAATACTCAATCAGGGATTTGAATCCTGTCATGCATAGAAGTCAAAGATATGCATACCTTTGTAAAATCAGAAATAGCAGAGTCAAGTTCTCTCTGGAATGCATATGCTGTGCCCCTTCCTATTAATGCCTCAGGGTATGTTGGATCCTCTTCGAGAATCTGTGCCAAATACATAAGTGAACAAGTATAGAGATTAGAAAATAGCTCAACAAGCTAAACATGAATTTTCTTTCAAAGTAAAGCTAGAAGGGAATAGTTAGTGTGCAAAGATGTCTAAAAAAACAAATTAGCATTCGTACAGAAGTAAGATCAATATCAACCTGATCAAAGATGGATATAGCATCAGCATATCTTCCTTCATTAACCTGAAATTCACAGAAACAATAAAGTTTCAACTTCACAATAGAGTGTTTGGTATCATTAGAAAATGTTAAGTTACTTAAACCACTCACTCTTGGGCACTTAACTCAAGCCTTAATCTTTATCTAGTTGGGGTCTTTTATATGGTCTATGGATTCCAATATTTATTCAGTTACACTTAACGTTAAATATATTTTGTTCCATTGGACTAGCATATCCTTTTTAATTACTTCAACCCAAGTAAGTTGAAATATACCTTTTTACCTCCCATGTCTCCTATTACTGCCATGTTACAGCTACTCTAATGTGCAAAGTGGGGAAAAAATTATGGTTCTTATATACACTTCAAAACATATTCAGATGTGTGAGAGGGAAACTTAATAAATGAGTTAATACCCAATTTAGTCCTCCACTATAGTGGTTTTACTCGACTTAGTCCTAAACGACTTTTTCTGCTTAATTGGATCGATAACTTCAATGTTTTTGTCTAATTGGGTCCTCTGTTAGCCATTCCGTCTCTCAGCTGTTAAGTTGGGGGTTAGCCATATATATATATATATATATATATATATATATATATATATATATATATATATATATATATATATATATATATATATTACACCAGCGAAAGAAGCAAACAAAGATTCCGTTTTCTTCCAAGAAACAGAGAAATATTTGGACGCAAGCCAATAAGGCAAGAATGGTCGGTCTAAATGAATATAAGAAAGGGAAAAGCAAGGAGATTTCAGGGTAATTTTCAGAATAATAATAGTATGTATTGTATATTTTGCCGCTGCACTCTATTGTGCTGACAACGGCATCAGATTGAAAACAATGCCATTTTTTTTTCAAAGAACAGTCATACAACATATGTCAGGCAACAAGAACTTCATCGGCCAAGATTATCAACCAAACATTCATTTAAAATTAAATTTTCACCAATCTTCTATCTATCTGCCTTTTCCTGAGGAGGGGAGGAGTGCGTGGAATAATTGCTGAGAACTGAGATAATGGAGAGAGGAAATTACTAGGCTAACCCCCAACTTAACAGCTGAGAGACGGAATAGCTAACAAAGGACCCAATTAGGTAAAAAAAAAAAACATTAAAGTTCCAATTAAGTAGAAAAAGTCATTTAGGACTAAATCAAGTAAAAGCACTATAGTTGAGGACTAAATTGGATATTGACTAGTTAATAACTACTCCGTATTTTTCACTTAAATGAAGTACAACTATAGTGCGAAACATATTATCACACGTTGTTGGATTGAATCATTTGAATGAGCAAAATGGAAATGAAGCCCACAAAATTTGAAAGGTAAATACAGAGAGATAGTATTTTTCATGTGATGAGCACAATGAAATCAGTATTTCCAGCATGTCGATGAAGTAACCAACCAATGAGTAAAATAAACATGGCAAACCAACATTCCATGTCATTATAATACCATAAGAGGCAGAAGAATGTACCTTAGCTATCCCCCTTGATAATCGGAAATCCAAAGTTACCGATTTTGTCTTCGAAGTCTTGCTGACACAGAATCTTTTACTTCTCTTATCATCATCACTCAATTCAACACGAACTTCGCATTTATTACTCAACTGACTCAAAATCTCTGATAGTTCATTAGTCTCTGATGATTCACTTGATTCATTAGTGACTATGGATGATTCGCTTGATTCATTAGTGACTATGGATGATTCGCTTGATTCATTAGTGACTATGGATGATTCGCTTGATTCATTAGTGACTATGGATGATTCACTTGGTTCATTAGTGACTAGGGAAGATTCACTTGATTCATTAGTGACTACGGATGATTCACTGCATTCTACGGACATATCATTTACGTCACCACATACTGTAGAACGAGAACCCAATTTGTCAGGAATATCACAGGTTCCATTTGTTTGTTTGTGATGACTTCCATTTGATTGGATATTGTCCTTGCTATTTTCTCTCACCTTATTATGACTCCCATTTGATTGACAATTGTCCTTGCTATTTTCTTTCACTGCTTTCTCTGTGTCCTTTGGTTTTCTGAACGGTTCAAGTCGACCATTTGACTCATGGTTCTCAGAAGTTTCAACAAGATTTCTAGAAAGGGGAGTCCCAGAACCAGATCCAGACAACTGCATAAAACCATTATCACCAGAAATGGTACTATTTTTTCTTGCAATAGTCAATAGTTCCTCTACCTCCATTAGTTGTTTCAGATCTGCACACTGTTGAACAGCATGGTCATACCCTTGCTGCCAAACCTGCATAGCTTCCACTTTCTTACCCATTGCAGATAAAGCATGACCTAGATGCAAATATTAAATTCACAATGCTTCAATGCACAATCAACCAAAAATAAACTTCAGCAAGAATTGACCGAAAATAAACTTCAGCAAGAATTGTCTATAACTCCGTAGTGTTTCCATTTCTCGAGGAGTAGAAAAATTAGAAGCTGAAAAAAATTCAATGACATTTCATTTTTATTTTTCCACTTCTGTTTCTATTTAGTTTACCATGTTATTTATTTCCTTCATCGGGCAATTGGCAGTGTACATGCCTGATAAATCAAATATATAACATTTCACTTTTCTCAAATTGGATTCAAGTAGGTAGTACATAAACCTCCCAAACATTACAGTCATTCCACTCGGCAACAGAATCAGCTAACACATATGATGCAAAATGAGATATGCATATGAAACTCAAAGCTGCAACACAGCTCTTTTTGCATGTGAAGTCTTGTTCCCAGCTACTTGTTCACAAAAATGCACATACAAAAGGATCAAAGGAAGAATGGACTACCAGATATGATGATAAGACCTTGCTTTAGTAAATGAATCATTTCTATAGTGTCTTTCTACAAAGGCATTGTGAACGGAGTTGAACAGTGAGCAGTCAGGGGACCACAACAAGTCGAGTCTGGAATTCATCATATTTATGTGTGAAATAATGGAACTATCCCCATATCTCATATCATGATCTTAATGGACTATATAATTATTCAAAGAAAAGCATTAGAATGGACTTTATTCCATGGACAGTCAGTTTGTCCTGTCCCCAACCCAGATAGCAAGTAGCACAAGGACAAAAGTTTTCAACATTAGAGAATTTAATAACAAAAATGTGATATGAATAACGCTTCAGCACTTGTCTCCGTTGACTTCACTTAACATTTAACAACAGCTAGATGCAAGAATAACTAGTTGAATAAGAAAGAAAATTCAAAATGTTCATATAAAACAACTAGTCTAGGTTTAATGAATTGTTGCAATCAGTTAAATTACCCAATAAAACACATGGGAAGATTTACAGAAAATAAAATAAAACAAAATAAAACCTTTGAGTATGTAAGGTTGGAGGACAGAAGAATCCAGCTTAAGCGCCTTATCACAATCCTTGATAACGTGCTTGTGAAGCTCCAGTTGACTATAGCAAAACGCTCGATTGCTGGAAATACAAATGAACTCACCGCATTTTAATTCAAAGAAAAAAGTTAAAAAGACACAAAGTTCAGCTCGTCTACACTAGTAGCAAAACCCCCCGTAAACACATATAACTGTCGAATTGGAGCAGGAAAAGAGAAAAAGGAGAGAATGAGAAGCGAAACGGACCAGATGTCTTGAATGAGGCAACTCTTGGAGAGAAGTGAATCGAGAACTCGAATTGCCTTTGACCAATCCTTGGACCTGCACAGCTTCGCCAGTTCGGTTCTCTCAGCCATCGTCGACGCCATCGGAGAAGGATAGCGAGAGTAGAAAGGCCGGCGGATCGGAAGATGTTAAAAGTGTTTCGGATCCTGGATTGGGTTCGGATTAACAGTTTCGTTTTTTTTTTTTTTTCCTTTTTTTTTTTGTTTACTTAAAGGGAAGGATTAAATTGGAAACCAAAAGGAAACAAGGCTTCTATCACTTAGATGGCAAGGCAATCATATAGTACACGTGGTTGCGAGATGGGGTGACCGTGGGCTCTATGCTTTCCTCACTGCCTATTAAAGCTTGCGGTGCAGCACTGCAGCCTTCGCAAGACGGTACATGTTTGATACTCATAGGGCGTCAAGTATAGAGTATTGCTCAAGTATATCTTGATTCTATTATTCCACTATTCTATTTTATGTGTCTAAAAAGTCAATACCTTATCATCAAAAATTCAATCTTGTAACTAGAGTGGACATTTTGAGATTCGATTTTGGTTCGTTTGAAAAAATTTGGTTTCAATTCATAATTGATTCGGTTCAGTTTAAGAATCCCAAATTTTAATATTGGAAAAATGGTCAAATAGACCATCAAACTTTAGTTAAAAATTCAATTACCCCCTCAACTTTTTTAATGTGCAATTACACCCATCAACAATTCATTTTGATACAATGAAGCCCAAAAACCAGTAAATGATCTGCTATCACAGGTTATCTAGCCACCCTCCGATAAAATTTTCAAGCAAAAAAGTGACCAGCGACCGTTCGCCGTTCGCCGGTCGCCAATCACTTTTTTGTCTGAAATTTTCGCCGAATTTCTAATGACATGTGATAGCATGTCATTTATCGATTTTTGGACATCAAAATTAATTTGAGTAAATACCACCTATGGTCCCTCGAGTTTGGTGGCATCGCCATCAATGGTCCCTAACTTCCGTAATTATCATCCGTCATCCTCCGAGTTGTAAAAAGTTACCTTCTAGCGTCCTTCCGTTATTTCCTCCCGTCTCAGCCGTCAAAATGGAGGATAATATTGTCATTTGACTTATACGAAAAAAGTTAATACCAGCCAAGGTCCCTCGAGTTTGGTGGTTTGGCCATCTTTAGTCCCAAGTTTGGGTGCTCAAGGATGGAATTGGATATCTTAGCAAGATTCTGTTGTCAAACCAAGGTCCCTCGAGTTTAGGCACGACCTCTCAAATCGACCGCCTCCTCTGTCCACCTACGCCTCTTCATTTCCCCCGCGACTATGTTTCCCCCAAACCATGCCTCATCTCATCATCTCATCCGCCATCAACCACTGGTCAGCCACCACTCTTTGGCACTCTACCTAGTACCTCCTCGACGCCCTCTCCTCCTCCACCGTTTCCCTCCACCCTACCCCAACCGTCCGAGCTGACTCCGTTACCTCCCTTCCTACCTCCCCTTCTTCCCTCTGCTTCGCCTCAACAGATGTCGAGCAGCTCTCTTTCCCTGACGCTCTGTCAAAGGTTCTCCAATCCGACAACAGTTCCACCATCGCTTACCTGCAGCAACAGAATGATTGCTTCCGTTCGGAGTATGAGGCTTCGGTTCGGACTGTGAGCCCCATTTTTCCTGGGCATCCGAGGTCCTGTGATGCCTTCCTGATGTCATGAACCTCTGGATTGGGAATGATTTGTCGGAGATATCGTTCCATAAAGATCATTATGAAAATCTATACACCGTGATCACTGGGGAGAAGCATTTTCTGCTTCTTCCGCCCACGGATTTCCACAGGATGTATATTAGAGAGTATCTGGCTGCTCAATACCACTATTCCCAGGTTTAAATTTCTTCTCTCATTATCATATCATAAATTTTTTTTGTGTGAATATATATGAATTCTGCTAATATGTAGGCAATGGTGTTGAGAGAAATTGAAGAGGAGAATGCTATATATTTGTAAATTTTCTTTAATATTGTATAGGAGAAGAGGGAGTTCGAGTTGGAAGTTGAGAAACAACCAACTTTCTTTAATATTGTTTGGCCAAGTTTGGGACTAAAGATGGCCAAACCACCAAACTCGAGGGACCTTGGCTGGTATTAAATCTTTTCGTATAAGTCAAATGACAATATTACCCTCCATTTTGACGGCTAAGACGGGAGGAAGTAACAAAAGGACGATAGAATGTAACTTTTCACAACTCGGAGGATGATGGATGGTAATTACGGAAGTCAGGGACCATTGATGGCGATGCCACCAAACTCCAGGGACCATAGGTGGTATTTACTCAAATTAATTTTTAATGGATGTAATTAGGCTATTCGTGAGTTCTCAGGAATAGCTTAAAGTTTCTATTTCTTATTTTACCCCCCAATTAAATTTATTTCCTATTTCACCACCGCCGCCACCACCATCGCCGTCGTCGCCACCGCCGCTACCACCATCAGCACCACCACCCCAGCACCGCCACCACCACCCTACCGTCGCCGCCACTGCCCACCACCGCCGCCGCCACCAACACCAGCACCAGCACCCCACCACCAGCACTAGCACCCTGCCGCCACCACCACCACCGCCGCCGTCACCATCGCTACCATCACATATTTTTATAAGGGTATTTATGTGTTTTAAAACATATTTCATTTCTATTCCTTAAATCAACCAAATACTGTAATATAATCCTAAAGTCTATTCCTTCCGCAAACCAAACAATATAATACAATTCATATTCTATTCCTTGCCTATTCCATTCCTTATGGAACAGCATCCATATCTCAAAATTCATTCCATGAACCAAATGTGTTGTAAAGGTGGCAAAGCACTCTGTAACATTTATTTAAAAATATAAAGATTTTGTTTAAAGATTATATGCTAATTAATTGCTCATAATTAATTTATTTGGCTAGTTAGTTGTGCACATTTGTTATTTAAACAAAAAAAAAAAAATGTTTAGTGAAATTAGGATCAAAGAGAATATCAACGATGTGAAGCAAGGTATCCTACATATATTCAAAAGTATACATTTGTGCACCAAAGCCACATTGGTTGCTTGGTTTAACCAATTAAAATTTTACTTAAAACGTAAAGCTATTAAAATACAATCTTACATTAGAAATTTCATTATTCAACACATAAAGTATATAAAGTACATTATTCTAACTCATGCGTAATAAAATACAATATCTTATCTTAGAAATTTCATTATTCTAACACATAAAGTACATTATACATTATCCTAATTCATAAAATACATTATTCTAACCCATAAATTACATTATTCTAACTCATAAAATACAGTATCTTACGATTTTTACTCTAGAAATTTCATTATTCTAACACATAAAGTACGTATATTATTTTAACATATAAAGTACATTATTTTAACTCATAAAATACATTATCTTACACTAGAATGTTCATTATTCTAATATGCTCACGGAACAAGAATTTTTTTAACATCAAAGCGACATCGTTTTGGACAGTGGTCCACACAATAATTATTTGCCATATATTAAAATATTAATACAACAAAGATTTAAGTTTTAACCCACCCACCCCCCCCCCCCCCCAAAAAAATGCAACAATGACTTAATAATATGTACCCAATAACAGATTAATAGGTAATAACTAAAAAAAAAAAAAACAAACATAAAAAAATAAAAAACAATTGAGGATATTAGAAATCAAATTTATGACATTATAACTCCTTTTTTTTTTTTAATTAAAAATTAAACCTATAAAGAGGCTCAACCATGCGGTGCTCCACAAACCAAATATTTCTTAACATTTTTTTTTTAAAGTTAATATCGATAGGAGTGCGATGGGCTAATCAAATGAAACAACAGCCAGAGAGTTAATACAAAATATTCTTCCCAAAGAGTTAATACAAAATATGATGCTAGTAAATGGATGTGTGGCTTTTGCAATAATAAGGTTGACATGGATACATGTCTATCTGTTTGAATTATGTTCAATTTAGAGTTAATTGGTCCTATGACTATTGGGTATTGTCAATTTGAGTCAGAGGCGGATCCACATTGGGGGACAGTGGGGGCAGCTGCCCCCTCCCCCACCTCATCCCCTTTATATATATATATATATATATATATATATATATATATATATATATTGTATGTATAGGCCGCTTATATATACAGACTAAACGTGTATAAATACTAGATGTACAAAAATAGAATCAAAGGATTAGTTGGTTTAGATGGTTAAGGTTAAGTTAGTGTACGTGTAAAGTGTCTTTGGTTCAAATCTTGAGGGCATTGATTTTCAAAATTTTATTTTTTGGCATTTTTGAATATTAATAGTGAGATTATAATTGTGATTTATGAAATTAAATTATAATTCTAATTGGATTCTTTATATGTAGCATTAGGGTTTTCTATTAAATATTAATAGTGAGATGAGTTATAATTTAATTTCTATTTGAACTATGTTTTTGTTTTGAATATTTTTATCGCGTTTTAATGCATTTTTTTTTTTTAAAATTCTATAGTCAACAATATTTATGGCTCGATCTCTAAGTGTTTCATTTTATTTTTCTTTCGTCCCAACTGAAGAAAATTCCTGGATCTGCCCTTGATTTGAGTCCACAACTTTTAAAACTAACAATTTCGTACCCTAACTACTCAATTTTTATCAATTTAATTTAGTCAGTCCGGCCAAATTGTCGGTCAATTGTTGCCGGAATCTTTTAATTCAGTGTTAAAATGCAAGCTAATTTGTGAACCATTGTTTGAATTGATACAGAGGCAAGTAGGGTGTAGATAAAAATTGGCGACAATTGGCCGACAATTTGGTCGTGCTAACTAAAATTAATAAAATTGAATAGTTAGGACTTAGGGTACTCAATTGTTAGTTTTGAAGATTGTGGACTGAAATTGACAACACCTCAATAATTATAGGAACAAAATAAATAATTCAACAACTAGACATGTATCCATGTAGTCCGTATATGAAGCTAGATTGAGTTTGAGAATGATGCAAATGTAGTGGTTGGAAAGATGAAACATGAAAGAGATAGCATACACCCCACATACACATAATGAATGTTATAAGAGAGTTGAGTAGTGAGATAATTTATTGTGTAGTTAGATATGTTATTTGTGAGACTAACAATTGCGTAAAAGTGTTTTGTGATGATTCCTACTATGTCGCTTAATAGGGATTACAAATTGTAAAGAATTCTCTGGGCGATATTTGACCTATATAAATGGGTAGTATTGTTCATGCAAATTGTTCTAGTTGTTATTACTATTGTTTTATTTGATCTGCTATGACATTTTTTTTTTTTTTTGATCAAGATCTGCTATGACATTTAAACAAACTAGTATCACTAAATCAAAGTTGATGGCGGTCATGCCCAATAAGCGTTTGAAGGAGTTTTAGTGGACTAGGAGGAAAAAGCGAGTTTGGTTTGGTGGGTAAAGTATAAAGAAACAAGGATCTTTAGGGTTTGAAAAGCGAAGAGGCAAGGAGTTTGGGATCAAAAGGTAAGGAGGCAACGAGTTTGGGAACAAAAAGGAGAGAGATAAGAAATTCAAGGTCCAAAAAGACATAAATGCACAAAATCCAGGGGCATAAGATGCAAAGGGTGAGAAGTGGGAAGCAAGCTGGCATGATGGGGTGAGGTGTCATGAGCAAGAGCCGTAAAGGGCGATCGGAGTAGTTGAGAGTGGTAGAGGGTTGTGGTGCCTTGTTACTAGGCATAGTCGGAGGTTGCGGAGGGCCACTTGGCATCCCAATTGGGAGTAACAAATAACTAGACAAGTCATCTCTTGCATATGGATCCTTTGGCTTCCTTATACCTATAAATAGAGAGTCCTTAGTGATTTACATAATTACAAAAATATCACCTTCATATTGAACAATTTTTTTTTGAATGCTACTGTCTCTATGACATTATAATATCTGTTCGTATATTTTCTCAACCTACTGAAACACAAAGAACCAATAACACCTCCACTGAGACTCCAACTCACAACCTTTCAAATGGAAGTCCAACCCGGGTACCATTAGACCACATAGTCCTGGTCATATTGAACAATTTACTTGGTATTTTTTTTTTTTTGAACAAATTGCATATTTTGTAATTTGTATCGATATATTGTAATAGTCTGTAGTGGGCTTGGACTTGTACTCTGTTTTTAATATTATTTTATTACAAATAAAAAAGAAACTAATGATCCAACGTTTAATTCAATAGGTATACGTGTTCAGTTACAGTTTTGTCCCTAATTATCTAATATACATTTGTTTGGGGCTCACGTAATGAGTGTGGCTTACCATTGTTTGATACATTAACGAGTAAAAGTAGAGATAAAAAAAATTGGAAGTTCATGTAATACAATTCTTTAAATTTAATTAATAATTTGTTTGAAAAAGAATTAAGACCAAAAAATAACATTTATAAAGGCTCAAGGCAAAATATAAAGTAAAGTCCTATATATTTGTTCAATCTAATAACGGCTTCTCGAATAAGAGTTTAGTTTGATTTATCTAACTAGGTGTAAACCTCTTCATTTTCAGCCAATTAAAGCATACATATTACTTTTTTTTTTTTTTTGGGTTGTGTGACGGGGTGAGAGGAGATTGATGTGGATGAGAAAATCTAAAAAATAAGATCATTTTCTTAAATATGATGTTTTTTTTAAAATTTTCATAAATCTAAAAAAAGTATTGGTGTGTGATGCATGCACTAGCCACTGTATGAGCCTATTAGGCGCTTCAAGATGATCACCCGTTAGCGACCATATTAACTTTTTTAAAAAAGAAATTCCTTTGGATTTTTTCCCTCTTGCTTGTTACATGTTCTGAGTAAAATTCAAAATTATCATCACTCTTAGAATTTAGATTTTTATAGAGGTTGAAGCATAATAGAATTCAAAATTTCAAAGCATTCTTCTGAATGTTTGCGCATCAGTAATAATTCAAAACAAACAACGATAACCTTCGTTTCTACTTTATACTATTCCACGCCTTGATCATTTTAGAAGGTCCTCCCATTTGCAGTACTGTCCTCCGGCCAGTGCACGATAATACCTATCTCTGCAGTAGACGGGCCTTCCATCGGCGGCCTCTGCAGCCGCCGCCGCCAGATCATCATCGTCCTTCACCTCCATCGGCAATCTCAACAGGTCATTTTTCCTTCAATTTTTAATCACGGCACTCGCGTATTAAGTTCAAGTAATTGCATACTGTGAACGTATTTTTGAATAATCATAAAAAAGGCTTCCTGCATACCTTATGTTGAATTTCGTGTTGTTCCTTGAACTGGATCCATTGGATGAATACTCTTCTGTCGTAAATGTGTTGTGGATGAAATCTTCTACTGGGGTAGCGAATATGAATAACGAGACTGCTGCTACCAGAAACGCCCCTGTTCCCACTAGGGTCTGTTTCAGCAACGCAATGACTGGTTTCACCTAAATGCATAAATTCCATTAGGTTTATGGCCTCTAAATTTGAGTTCATGATTGATTATGCAAAATAAAGTTTAGGCTGTAAATTTACCTTGTACGACCCCAGAAGCCTATCGCGAGCCAAAATCTGCAAGGAATAGTCAACTGAAAGCATTACATTTAATATATGTTTTTCATTTAATTTGTTCTTTTGTCTGCAAGTTTCTGGCAAATAAGGTCCTATGCAGAGCAACTACTATAAGATCAGAGGAAGATGATCTTTGCTTTTTAATCTAATTAGCCTCTAATCATGCTTTTATAATAAGATCTTCAGCAATTTTACTGCACTATATCATTCTTAATACTGAGTAACTTTTTATTATTTACAATTCAGTGAAACCTGCAAATTCACAATTGATACCAGGAAGACAGGAACTATTAGTTCAGTTTGGTTAGAAATGAAAGCAAAAGTTTTAAGATGTTACATTCTTAAGGCACAACTAGATGGCCTATAAGAAGATTGTTAGATGCTACACTCCACAAGTATAGGATTGTGGAGAGTAAATCATGGCTACTCAACTGCTCATTAGGTGGGAGACCAGTGCTCGATTATACATTTTGCCCATAATCTACCATCCAGGAATCAACTGAGCTACCCGTAAGGGTAAAACTCCCATACTGTCCTGGTGTAATTATTTAATCTATTCTAGTGTGCAGGGGTGGGTGTGGAGCAGCCAAGCAGGGTGAAGATAGTGAGAAGGAAGGCAGACCTCAGGTGGCTTTACCCACATTTGACCATCATACCATCCAGTCTCTTCATAAGGTACAACAGCCGATAGAAGCCTATCCCCAACATAGCTCCATCCCTTTCATGAAGAAATAAAATCATTATCAGAGAATAAATATCAATTCAGAAATTCACTGATATAGCATCCAAGTATGGTTTGAATGATGTAAAAAGATCTTACCAGATAAATCCTCAGAACAATCAGTGCTACTAAAAGAGTTGTTCCTGTACCAGAAGCTAGGGCAAATCGTAAGGGATCCTGGAAGACACCAAAAGCTTTTCAAATTCTACCATATATGAAAACTGAGAAGCAGCAAAAGCTTATTTCTTCAACTGAAATGACTGCTTCCCTCCTTTTTTTATAGTAAAAGCATGAGAGTACCTTGGAAGGATCAAAGCTAGCAGCTGCAATGGGCACTCCTAAAACTGTGAAAGTAATGAACCAAAGGCCCCCAAGACGTAGGAAGAATGAACCTGGATCCAACTCAGCCCAGGAATACATTGCTGATTCTTTGAGAGATGAGTATTCATTCACCTGTTAACCAAGATTTGTTCATTATTAGTTAGATGTGATAGTGTAAGCGCTTACCATTACGTTATCAATCGTTGGATTTGACCCTTTTTTTGCCTCCACCCATCAATTCTTCCTACTCGTGTACCACTAAGCGCTTACCAAAAGCTATAGTTCACAACGTTAGTTTATTTCGTTATACTGCCACTATATTTTCTAGAGACAGGGTACTAGACTTGGCCTTTCACCGTCCTCTCTCCAATAATTCTCTAACTACCAATTGTTGAACTTGACCATTTACTGGCCTCCGCGGCTTGAACTTGGTTATATGACCACAACATCCTAGAGGATTATAATGCTTTCTAAGAGTTTATATTTGCAGATATTGAATAGACATCATACCGGCCTCTGTTCAAATGGCACTTCAAATTCCAACCCAGGGTCCCAACTCCGACCTGGTAGCCCACCGGTTCCTCCGTTCATCTCATCTTTCAGGGCTTTTGCTGTGAACCTCTTTGATAGGATCTGTGCTTTGTTAACATGAACTATCCATGAACTGCAACTTCCTCCAGCATGGTTCACTTGTTGCCGGCCAGGAACTAGAGAGCAGGTAACATTTAACCTAAGCATTTACTTTTTGATTAAGAAGCTTAAGCATATACTTTGGAGGAAAGGCATCAAAGATTGTTCTTTTGCCCCATGGTGTAGTTTGTTGATTCTACAGGTGGTGCATTATTTATGTGATGCAAAATAAATCTGGTTATTGCCCACCATTTGAACTTAAAGCTTTGTGGACAATTTCAGGTATGGCCCATAAGATTATCTTGAAGCTTTGTGGCCAATCCTTTTTTGTTTTTATTTATTTTTTGTGGTTTACTTGGCTTGCTTGTATGCTGCTTGAGGTGCAACGTGGCTTACGTTTTCTTTGCACGCTGCTATGCGTTCATTTCCTCAGATTTCCACGCTCTTCTCCAAGTCATAAAAGTCAGAAAATAAATCGTGCAAAAGGAAAAGAATTTTCTTACAATTTTTTAAATGTCTTTCTTAATTTGTTACCTTTTACTAAAGTTTGACATTTAAAACAAGTTGTGGTTAGTTTTGTTTTCTTTTCTCAACTATTGTAGAGTTTCTTTATTTTTCTATTATATTCTATTTTAATTAATTTTATTTCACTCAACTATTTTATATTCTCTTATATTCCATACGGTAGTCCAAATCTTACCTAAACTTGTACCCTTGGTTGATTACTTGGCCATTTTGTCTAGAAATTCTGTCTAGGGTAATTAGCATTTAAGAAGGATCACTTAGTCCCACCATTCTTTCCTAACAATTTTCTAGCACAAAATTAAATCCCAAGTTTAAAAATTTCTAAATCTTAAATCAAATATTTTCTAACCCATTCATCTATCCTATTTTCTCTTGTATTCCACATATCTTTCACACATTAGCAAATGTTGTTCCTTATCTAAACCCATACACCACCCACCTTGTCAATTACTTGGCCATTGTGTTTAGGGAGCAGTTATTTTGATTATTTTTAATTTTAAAAATTATTTATATCCTCAAATAAGTTACAATTAAAACATCAACTCCTCAATTTGATTCAATTAAGTTGATAGCAACTTGTTAAATTGCAATTAGGTCCATTGATTGGTAAATTGCTTGTGATAGCCGGTATACACGCTAATGTAGTTTTTTTTTTTTTCCAAAAAATAATTAAAAAAAAAATTGTCAACTTCTCATGTTGATAGAAGCTGGCCGTCTAGGCGGTCTAGTTGGGTGATTCTTTGTCTATTTTTTTTAATTTTAAAAATAATTTTTTTGAATAAATAGTGCCATATAAACATTTTTACTATTTAAAAGTATCTCAACTAATTATTTAATTGAATCAATTAATGAGATGATGTGTTTAATTGCAACGTTTTAAAGCTTAGAGGCCTAATTACTTTTTCATATTAGAGGTCTATTTGATCATTTCTTCAAGTATATATTTTCATAAGTTATTTTTTTAAAAAAATAATGTTATATTGTAATTTTTAAAATAATTTGTGCGCAAACTCATGAAATTTAAGTTAAATTTGATTTGTTCTTGGATTGGAACTTATAATTGTTACAAAATACAAATGTTTGATATTTATTTGTCAAGAATTTAAAAGTTCTAGTTCTATGCATAATATAATTGTCATAAAACACAAATACTTGTAGTTTTCTCACCAAATTTTAAAAGTTTGGATATATTTTTCACGTAAATGTAAGAATTTTTAAGGCCAATAAGCCTTTTTAGGAAAAGAACATAAAATGAAACAGTGTAGAAGCCAACAATGCTATCTCTAAATCTCTACCTGATAAATGATAAATGAATGCATAATAACTTGGCTTATTTACAAAGAAGTACCACAACATATATACTTTAGATAAGATACACACATGTTTGACACTTACAATCCTAAGAATGCAGTTGGGGGAACAGCCTTTGCCATGAATCTCTAGCATGTCATTTTTCATCCTGTGCAAGGAAATAAATCTGTTATCCTCAACCTCGTTCTGTTCTTAATGGTTAAGATCTCTGCTGTATAGTCAAAAACCAAACAACTACTTCTCGTTCGACCATTCCTTGTCTTTTGGGTATGAACTCCCAACAAACAAAGATTGAAAACAGAAGAGTAATGCATTAGCACTGCATGTAATAGGATGCATAAACGCATGGCAGCAACGAAACCTGGTGAGCCTAATGTGAAACCTTACAGAGTGTACAAATTGTGTATAATAGAAGAAGCAAATAATTTCTTAATATGCCAACTACTATGTAATGTGATGGCATCTCTTTTACCATTCCAAATGGGTGGTCATAGGATCGAAATAATAATAATAATAATAATAATAATAATTTCTTAATATATACAAAACTAGTTGAAATGCTGCAAGTTAAGCTGTCAGATATTAAAGATGTATCATAGAGAAACAAGTTGAGATGTCACATCATGAGAAAATTTCAGCTATATATGGTAGAGGCAAAATAATTTTTAATGGGGTTAGCAAGGGGAAGAACATCTACATAAAATACTTGTGAAAGCTGCAATAGAGATGTTTGCAGTGGGTAGTAGGAATACAGAAGGTGAACATATCTGCTATAAAACAAATATATGACTCCGTACGTGTTAACCACAAAATGACATCTGTTTTTGTCTGGTTCATTTGGGAGTCTCAAAGTAGTTGTGAAGAAAATTTAAATTTTGGAGAGCAAAGTATTGGTAGCCTAAGGTGACCAAACACACAAGAATGCAAGTATTAAAATTTCACGATGTTTGACTAAGCTATGTAAGTATTGGAAAAGAGTAGTTGTGTCAAACATAGTATATACAAAACAAATGAAAGGGGATTATGTTATATATGTATAAAGAACACTCATCTTCTACCTTCCAATTAGTGATGCTCCTTGACAGAAGGGCTATATACTGCTCCATTGCCTCCTCCCGGCTAATGTCACCTAGCCTTTGCCAAGCATTCCTATTTTAAGTTCACCAAAACAGAATTTAAAGATTGCATAAATCCAGTTCGTATATAATGAACTTGACATACTCTATTATGGGCTACGGGGCTAAGAAAACTCAATTTTGTTATAGTGTCACATAAGCTTAGAGTCATGCTGTTGATTTATCATCCTATCCTGTCTAATGTGTGATGAATACTTTATGTGAAGATCACAACAAATTTGATCAGAACTCAGAAGCCATACTAACAAACTATTTCAATCTCTAACATTAATAGCATAGAAAGGTTGTGCAGGGTAAGTACCATTTGGCGCGAGCTGAGAGCTTCAATGCCATGGGCTGAGTTGTGCAACAAGGCCCGTCGGTAGCAACCTTGTGAAGGCCATAAAGCTGCATCTTCACACCATTGTCGAGTTGATCAGCATTGGCCTTTGAATCCACAAACACCACTGCAGTGCCAAAAGCCTTCTCCAGGTCTGTTCTCTCAATCCCTTCCCACTCATCATCAAATACTCCCTCCTCTCTTAATATTTCATTTTCCATCTTATCCCTACTGCCCTTTTCCTCTGAAACTTCTTCATCACCCTCCTCCATCGTTTTTGATCCTTCAATCTCGCCATGTTCTATATGAATTTCGCGAAAATCTTCTTCAAGAGGACCCTCTACTTCAATTTCTTGAAGCTTTCTTCTCACAGGACTTTCGTCGACTACTTCGTCTACAATTTCATCATCCTTATCTACTTCCCCTTGATCAGCTACTTTTTCCACTCTTTCATCGTCCCCACCGACAATCCCTTCATCTACAAAACCTTCAACTTCCAGCCTCCCTGCCATTTCAGTCGCATCTACGCAGCAGAAACCCATGTTTTTGTTGTCCCTTGCAAGAGAAGCGTTGGAATGGAATTTGCAGAGGATGAAATAGATGACCACAGAGAGGCCAACAGTAAAGGCCAATTCTTGGAAGAGCATGATATCCAGGTCCATATTGCATAGAGAGTAATATGGGAGAGGAGTGAGAAGAAGGGAATTCTGAGACTAAACAAAAGGGGAAGGGGATTTTGGAATTTGGAGGAGCAGAGCAAAGTATATTCTGAGAGATGAGAATAGAGGCCTAGAGGGGTGTGCTGGCTAGCTTTCGCAAAAACAGGGAAAAGCGAGTGAGTTGTCTGAAAACGATGGTTTCACTAACGATCGATGTATCGAAACCTCAACCGGCCTTGTTTTCTCGGCACCCTCTGTCTTTTACCAAGAATTTGTTCAATCCCTTTCTTTTCTTGTTTCTCTTCTCTTCCTCTCCTATTCTTTTTCCTTTCTTAAATCTTATCCTTAACTAAAAAAGTGAAATTGTAAGTTTAATATCAACCAACAATTCAACTTGATGGATTATTATTAAGTAAGGTATCACGAACAATGTTATTATATTATGCATTAAAAATAGTAGGAATATCGAAATATTGAGTTAGAGAGTAGTTCACAAGTTACGGCTTAACTTGTCAGGAGGGGTGTAATTTTTTTTTTTGGTCAAGTCATGAGGTGTCCTGAATAGACTTTAACTGAGAAGGGGTGGAATTAGAAACTTCATATCCATATTATTCATACGAACAAAAATTTGAGCATGAGAAATTGACGTTGTATTTTCCATCACATCCACAGAGAGTCAAACACTTATATTGATCAGATGACAAATTTTCATGTTCATGTTCATCATATACTTTAGGTTACTTGTATTGATCAGGTGACGAATTTCTAAAATCATATTTATTATATACTTTAGGTTCAAGAAACTTCACATGATAGATTTCACTTTTTTTTAATAGATGTTGCATGCATAATAAGATATAAATTAATGTATAAGTTACATGATTTTCCTTGCAACAAGGCTGTGGACATATTCCAATTCTAACCAACATTCACACATATGTTTGAGTCAAATATAAGACATTTTAAGTTAAAGACTCAAATCAGTTGGTTGAATAGTCATATTCAAATTGAAGTTTTGGAGTATTTACCGTAATGGAACAACCATAGCAATCATACATCATACATATAATAAAAGAAATAAACCGTCATCCTCGATTAATATGGTTGCTTGGTTATTAGTATGTGTTCTTCATGCATTGCTAACTTATTTCAACAAGAAACTCCAAGGTTTGGTCAAAAGGATAAGATATCCTGTTTTATTATTATTATTATTATTATTATTATTATTATTATGGTCATGGTCATTTTCAATAAAATGAACCAAACAGACAAAATGTAATTTCTTCCCTTTTAGCCAAATAGAAAAATATAATTTTCTAATATTCAATTAAATATTAAAAAAAATTAATTTTGAAAATGGGTCATATTCTCTATAAATCATTTTTCGAAAACATTTTTTAGATTTCCGAACGAATCCTTATTAAAATTGAAGACCAAAACAAATTTGAAGTTTTAGCAACACTCCAATGGCAAAATATAGGTTTGCCATGATTAATTAATACAAAATGATATAAATAAAAAATGACTAAGAAATACTTCAATAATTTAAAATTTTAAAATTCATTTTTAATATTAACAAAATTTGTTAGGAGTTTATTAAAATCACCACTTTATACATAATTAAAGAAAAAAATTGTATGTGATACTAATTAATAGAGTAAGTCTACAATATGTATATAATTAATGGACTAAACTGTCATTTTTCTTTATATATATATATATATATATATATATATATATATATATATATATATATATATATATATATATATATATATATAGGGTCTGGATCAGGTGAGGACCTAATCTTAGGTGAGGACGTGAGGACTAATCTATACCATTCAATCAGAATGATGTATGATTGAGATTAAAAGAAACAAATCACACGGATTAAGAAAACAAATCCCTTTAAAATATTAAAATATATAAATTCAGGGTAAATCAGTCTTATTAAAATATGTGCATTCCTATACAAAATGTTGTGCATTCCTATACTGAGTGTTGTGCATTCCTATACTGAGTGTTGTGCATCAATAACTTCATTGTTGTGCATTCAAACCCCGCCAAAAAATCATACAGTGAACATCCAATGTTCTACGATGCATTGAACTATGTGTTATAATGCACAACTCCCTAGCCTATAGTGCACAACTTACAACACTAGGTTGCACAATCAGCACATACGAATGCACAATCGTACTACCCAGGCATTTATACATATACACGACAATCCAAATATAGACAATATTATACTCAAAAGAACAAGCGAAAAAAAAATAAAAAATACTGATTAGTTTGCATGGGCGAACACTCAATCAATGATGAAGAAATCGCGGCTCCAAATTGCAACGGTGATGATCCAAGAAAATAGGAAACCAATTTGGCCCAGGATTATACATGCGTTCACACTTAAAAAAAAATAGAAAAAAGACACTATTATCCCACTTTAACAAAAAAGATCAATCCATGTCATCTCAAGAACTCAAATCTGGACCATCTAAATAAAAAAACAAACGCACAAGATTAGTCCTCACGTCCTCACCTAATCCGGATTATATATATATATATATATATATATATATATATATATATATATATATATATACCATCGTACAATTATTGTTTATCTGTCAAGAAACATAACATCATCGTAGTCTAAAACTAATAAAAGTATCCAATTTACCTCTGGGACTTAGCGTAGTTGATTCGTCATCTGACTTAAAGGTCGTGACTGGAGGCGGTAGTGTGGCGCCATGTGGGGGTTCGAATTCCAATGAGAAACAGGAAAAAGGCTTAATAATGTTGGATGGTATAGATTAGATCTCTTGTGCGTATATAAAAACTAAGATTTAACCGGTGAGTTGATTGCACAACCTACGATTTACCTTCGCAGTGGCACATAAATAAAATAAAAAAATAGTATCCAAACTATTATTAACTCAATTTAAATAAATTATCTAAAATATACATTACTTATTTATCAACTCCTATCACTTACTAAAAAAAAAATACAAGCATTTAAGGAAAAACAATTAAAAGGTCTTGAGTTTAGAGTTTAAACTTATAAGTAAAACAATTATATTAATTTAGGAAAAAGTCTACCATTCAAAACTCTTTCATAAATTAAACTTAAAATCATGTAATTATTAATTTAATTATGTATCCATTTTGTCCTGAATTAATTGTCACATTTACTTTTTCACGTTTTTTAATAAATTAAAGTAAGTATTATGTGTTTTTCAATTATGTCCTCCACTTCTCTCACTTTTCGAAAATAAAAACAATAAAGAAAGCAAAACTCATAACGATAAATTAAAATAAAATAAAATAATATAATAATAATGTTTAATTTTGAGAAGAAGATAATATTTTAAGACAAACTAAAATAAAAAATAAAGCATATAAAATAAGATAGAGATACTAATTGTCTGACCAACTCGGTTAGATTGTCTCCCGACTAAAACCGGCCACGACTCGCGAGTCATGTGAGCGGTGAAGCGGGGAGTGGGGACACGCAATTAAGGCTCCCTTTGGCCATAGGCCTTACTTTTGTTGTATGTATATAATCCCTATTCCGTCCCTTACTTAACCTGCCTCCGTCCTCATCTCCAGCTGAAGCACAAAAGAAGAATCTCCGTTAGGGTTCGCCTTTTCCGATCAGCGAAATCATGGGTGGAGGCAACGGCCAGAAGTCCAAGATGGCTCGCGAGAGGAACCTGGAAAAGAATAAAGGCGCTAAAGGTTCTTCTTCTTCTCTCTCTATTTTTTCCCATTTTATTCATTCGTATTTGTGTCTGAGGCATGAAATCTGTTTCATAATACTGTAATTGGTGACGATTCTTGTGATTTTGTCTTTGATTTTGTGTAATTCAACCGTTTCATGCAATTTAATGTCCTTTTTTTTTTGTGCGTGATTGAGCTTCAATTTCATGTTATTTGGTTAGCTTTTTGTTGAATCAACTTGCTAAGTGATCTGATCTGCACAGGAAGCCAGCTGGATTCCAACAAAAAGGCCATGAATATCCAGGTACTCCTTTATATATATGAAATTAGTGTTGTGTCCTGAATATCCAGCTTGATTGAGAGGTTTTTTTCGAATGGAATTCCTGATGCAAGTTTTCTTTTTATTCTTTCTCTGAATTGGAATTTTTGGATGGCCTAAAATTTTCTGTTGAAGCAACTGAAAATTTCATAAAAACTATACTCTCACAGTCTCACCTTATGGTTTTTCAATTTCTGGTTTCTTCACCTTTTAAATATAAGAATTTTACTACCTTTGAAATGTGAACTGTTACCTATTCCCAACTTTATTTTAGATCTATTCCTTACTTGTTGCTCTTCTTTGGCTTTGGAGTCTTGCTGTTGTCTAACGAGTGTAATTCTTACAGAAAATTGTATATGCTGTTTAGATCTTGATTATGGCATGGGAGTTCATAACTCATTAGCGTAAAAATGGTTGAATAAATGTGTGGATATCTCAGAAATAGAGAAAAGATGAGTTCTTAGATAACTGGTCTGTGCGTGCAGGAGAAAACAATTATTATACAGAAACAAATGAACCCTAAACAAAAGATTAGCTGTGTGAATTCTTGAGATGGCATTTCATAAACTTCATTTATTGTTGGAGCCAATACCAATGTGGGGAGGAATTTTTCTTAAGCTGTGAGACACTCAAGTTTCAGCAGTGTTAAATAGTTAATTGAAGTGAACATCACCCTAAGCAGTTAGCACCACCCAAGGGAGCCATTGGGATATTAGTTATACATTAAGAAAATGGGATTGTATTGCATTTCTATATTGTTGTGCAAACACCATTAATTTCTTGCTGTTTTCTGTTAAGATGATCTTGATTTAACTATTTAGAATCAACCCTTGAAATTTATGCTATGAAATTTTTGGCTTGCTTATGTTGTCTTGATGAACGTATTTCTTGCGCTTCATATGTTTTTGATTGGATGGTTGCAGTGCAAGGTATGCATGCAAACATTTATGTGCACAACATCAGAGGTGAAGTGCAGAGAGCACGCCGAAGCAAAGCATCCCAAGTCTGACGTGGGTACATGTTTTCCTCATCTCAAGAAATGAACAATTTGTAGGTCATAAAAACTCCTTTAAAGAAAGCTGGTAGATTGCCAGCGCTCTCTCCCCCCTGTCAGCCCAAGCAAGTTGCTGTTTGTGTGTATTGTGTACTTGTTTGTGTGAGACTTTGGAAATTGTTTTGAGTCGATAATATACTTTGAACCTTGTGTGTTGTTGCTCATTGCTCATCAACTTGGATAAACTATCCCTTACAATAACATAATTCGCCTTGGCAGCATTCAATCAATTGTTGTTGCTATTGGCCTAAATGAGACTTTAAAACATTCGTGCATCTAAGATTAACAATGGTGGATATTAGATTTTAAAGTCTTTGGTATTGTGCAGCTAAACTTGGTTAATTTCATTAGGAAAATGAATCGGCTGGAAATGAAATACTACACAGCAATTGCAGGTGAAACACAACACGAGACAAATTTATTGAGTTCAAACATGGATACAGAATGTCTAAAATATACCTCTCCAATAGTACATGTCACTTCACATCACTTCAAAACCACCCAAATCTAGTTCATTCAATTGCAAATTTATATTATGATGATGCCGACGACCATGACGAAAGACCACATCACTGAACCCTCATCCTGCTATTCTCTGCGGCCCTCACTTGCAAGAAATATGGGTGGGCCTAAGATTGGGGAATGGATGTTACTTTATGGCAAAAAGACTTAACAGAAGGATATGGATATCAATGGAATAGAATCAAGGAAACAATGAAGAGAGGAAGAATCAGAAGATAATTTTAAGTATAGCAAACAGGCATACCATTGCTTCTCTTGCTGTAAGCCTATCCTGATGATCATAGCGAAGAAGCTTGTCGAGAAAATCTATGGCCTGCAAAGTGCACCTCAACATCAGTGAATCTGGATCCCGAGAAGGATCTATAGTAATTTAGATTTTAGAGATGACAATACCTCAGGTGACACTAAATGCTGATTATCAGAATTAATAAACTTGGACCACGGCTTTCTGCTGTGCCTGCAGGAAAGGAAAGGTGAGAAGTTAAAACATTTAAGATAAATTCTTTTTGAAATGCAAATAAAAGAAGCCAAATATCAGCATATAACATATCTCGTCATTTTGAAAAATACATTACAAGAAGAATAAAGCATACCTCCCAACCATAGCCTCAAGCTGAGGATCAAGCTCTAATCGATACTTGTGCAAATATGCATTCAACTCATCTGTCCCAAGTACCTAAAAACCAATAGTATTAAGAATCAGAGATCAAATCAAATAGAAAACCTTTTAATAAGCAGTCAAAATTAGCATGACCTTTCATGACTTCACTTTCACATCAACTCCAATTTTAATTTTCTACCGATAGTCTATGGTATTTCAATTGTATTTCAATTTGATATATTGAAAACTATTTCATGATACCTTGGCAATCTTGACAAGCTGATCTTGATTATCATGTCCATAAAAGAAAGGTTCCTTGCGGAAAATCTACATAAAATAACAGTAAAGAATAGCCATGAAGTAAGACATAAAGTTAAAAAATCAAATTTAAAATTGTGTATTGCAGATTGGCAATGATGGTAAAGCACATTTTATATTTATATCCTTGAATCAAAATAAAGCGAGCGCATGCACACATACTCAAACAGATAACATAAAATCATGGGAAAATGACACACTTAATCCCTCAATTGTAACTACTTTAATTATTTGAAGTGTAGATTTAAGTTATTATCAAAGTGGTAGATTTGATCCCTCCCTAAATGACTAAATCCGCCACCAATATGCCACGTATAAAGTAGCTGATTTGGACTCCAAGGGAGAAAATCCGCCACTTTGGTAATAAGTCTGAAGCACCGCAAATAATTGAGGGACTAAATCTACACAATGGTCATAAGTCATAACTAAGGGATTAAAAGTGTCATTTTCCCTAAAATCATTAATTGATTCTTACCATTCCTGCAAACATGCAGCCAAGGCTCCACATATCCAAAGAATAGTCATAGTCTTGCAAGTCAACAAGAAGTTCAGGACCCTTAAAGTATCTGCATAACAACAAGAGTTTAAAATATTCAAAATTGTTTCAATATGCTAAATAGCTTAAACATTTTTAGAGCATGTGAAAGGCACATCACATCACTAATGACAAGTTAACCTTTAAATATTTTTTAACTACTTGGACACTTTTGTAAGTCCATGCTATTACATTTAATCTTAACTAGTACAAGCAGTCCCTGTCTAACTAGAAGTAAGTTATGCCCTATATCTAGCAGATCAAACTGGTAATACTAAATACATCCTATTGTTATTGAACTATGGAGTTGGATCAACAAATTTCAGCACCCTTCTATAATACTGTAATATTCTAATGTAGTAAGGCTCACTTTTAAGGGATTGTCAGAGTATGAATTCATAGAGTTACAAGATCAGGAAGTAAAGACTTAAAAGATTAGTTCTTACCTTGAAGCCACACGAACATTATATTCCTTCCCTGGGTGATAAAATTCAGCAAGACCCCAATCTATCAATCGAAGTTTCCGCAACTCATGGTCTATCATAACATTATGAGGTTTGACATCTCTATGCATTATTCCTTGTGAATGACAATAGTCTAGGGCCTGCAATTTCATCAAAGAAATTTCAAATGGTTTTTTCCTTCAATAGGTATCTTCTAAATAAAGGAATGGACACTAACTAATCTAACATTAGTGATCATCTAGCAATTGGAGTTTCCTTTTACCTTGAGAAGCTCATATATGTAGTACCGTATGTCATAATCTGTTAATGTGGGGTATAAAACCTTGAAATCTGTACTGTTTACATACTCAAATATCAAGCTTGGAGTTTTTGAGTGCTGATCTCTGACAATGTCAAGGAGTTTGACAATATTTGGTCCTCCACAGAGGTTCTGCAATATTTTGATCTCTCTCTTAATCTGGCATAGGAGTACAAAAACAGGAAATGTGTCAATAAGTTACAGTCACATTTTTATGTGAAAATGGAAAGGAGTAGGATAAAGTGGAAAAGATCAAATCGTTTCATCAGTGAAGAGATAAGTATTGAGAGTATCAAACATAAAAGACCAATTGTGAAAACATTTTTATTTCTGCAGGTATTTAGGAGTGATTTTTTTTCTTCTTTAGAATTTAGATACAATTTAATACTCTATGAACCTGCCAGTATTAGTGAATCTCAACAGATACTAACGTGGAAAAACAAGCTGCATATAAATCAGAACTTCAATAGCAATATAAATAACCACATTATTCCTTAAATCCTTCTCTAACCAATCACAGATTCACAGTAAAACATTGTTCCAATGTGAAGATATCCTACCTTCTTCTTCTTAACAGGCTTCAAAATCTTAATTATGCACCTCTCATTGCTATTGACATTTATACCCTCAAACACTTCACTGTATTTTCCTCTTCCGACTTTCCGAACAACTTCATAGTCATCCTGGTCACTGAAACAATAATGCAAGGAATGTTAAGAAGCATAATACACACAACATGCAAACTCCGTGTGTGTATAAGACAGATTTAACATTTTTGTTATAAAAGGTGGCGTTAAGTAAAACAATCCTTATGAGAACCATATTCTTTGTCTCCCACAGAAAACAAGCTAACTATATGATCCCTGAAGGAATGAGTATGGAACTGAGTACAAAATGATAAAGACTATCCAAATTTCTCTTGATTGTGTATATAATACATGAAGGCAAGCCAAAGTATGTCGAACTTCTATAGTAGTCAAAGTTATCACATAGTTCCAGTTAAGACAAGGAAGCCACTAGAAGGATGTAAATTACAAACAGGTCTTAACTTCGAATAGTTGCAGATGCCAGATGAAGCTTTAGCCTAACTGGAAAGAATCAATTGTTCTTTACCTGGGAAGACTCAGACACTAATATACCACAGATGATATGCATAGATGAGAAAATCAAATTGGAAGAAATATACAATCAAAAAGGAAATGAACATAAAGAAGGCTAAAAATTCAAAGCAATATAATGCGATTTTTTTGCATTACTTCAAAAGTGTCTTCTCCTGGCCATTTTATCAGCAAATACAACCCCTAAAACTCATAACCAGATAGAAAAGTCCCCCGTTACTGCTTCATCTCACTTAATTCAGATCAGAAATCGCCAAACTACATTCCAAACAATAACACGGAAATGAAATTAGGGTTTAAGCGACGGAACTCACCCCCACTGAACAGTGAGCGATTCGTAATCCCAATACTCCCTAGGGCGAACCACATTGATGTCTGCATAAACTCGAGATCTGGACATGGCTTTGGAGCGAATCCAATCCCCGTCCCGGAGAAGCAAAAGAAGGCGATTGGACTACTTGCGGCTGAGAACGGCGGCAGTTTGGAAGTTGAGCATCGATCACCACCAGCAGCTTAGTTAACACCGCCCGGTGGTCACAAGAGCGATATCAACGAAGCAGAAGGTGAGCGGATCGAATTTGTGTTCGTTTTGGGAAGAGAGTGACAGTAGAAATGGATCTTGATTCTTGAGGAATAAAAAGCACAATCATATTTGGGTTGGATTGGGTCGGTGGCAAGCTGACCTGTGTCCCAGTTGCAATTTTTACTTTAAATACAATTATTATTATTATTATTTTAAATTTGAATTATTATAAATATTTACTTTATCCAAAATTAGGCTCGAAGCTGAAAATATTCAAATTCACAAGAGTATAATGAGCAAAGAGTTTGTTAGATTTTTGTTACTATTAAACCTATGGCATGTTTTGGGAATGTAAAATATCGGGAGATATTTTGTATTTTATTCTTTTTATTTTAGTCTTTATTTATTGAAAAGAAAAGAGGTAGTTTAGTTATACCCGATATAGACTTATAGGTTATGATTGTACACTGAAGTCCTCCAGAGTCTTTATTTATCTTGGCTCTCTTTTGGACATGTGTTTAGGACCACATAAATTGTCCTAATTCTCTACGAGTCAATCTATTGATAATGCTCAAGGACAATAATAAGGTGACTGATAACATCTGGATATTTGAGCTAAACCATGTATTATAACCGCAACACTAATATATGGCAATAAAGTTTTTTTTTTTTCTGTAGCGTAAAATTATGTGTATTCTCCCATATTATTATTCTAAATATATTTCAATAAATACTATATTTTACATAATTTTTAAAAAAGTTGTATTGTTAGTTTCAAAAGTTTAATATAATTCTTCTTCTTCTTTACTTTATTTTTTTCCTATTTTATGTGTTTAGTTCTATTAATGAGACTTGCCTCAAGTTGTTTAATTTTGTAGTATTTAGTTCAGTGTTAATAAATAAAATTAATATGTTTTGAAATTATATCAACAATACAATTAAATCTAAGAAGTTAAATTTACAAATTATTAAAAAAAATGATAAATCAATTAAACCAAAAAGGGAAAAAAAAAAAAAAGTAATTTGATCAGTGAGTATTAAATATGATGGCTAAATTGAAACATAGGAAAAATATTTTTTTTATTTGGTTAAACGTCTTTATTTCTTCCTTTTAACACATCATCCTCTATATTTGGGAGTCACGTATTTTATTTAATATTAAAAAAATAAAACATACATATTTGACCCTTTAATTATTTTTTCAGTTGTAGATATGATCTTATACTTCTTGATCAAATAAATCTTCTTTGTGAACCAATATTACGAGAAATATTTTGATAATCTCACATAACACTTTTTTATTTGTTCTCCTTCATTACAGTTTGACCAATAATAGAGCAACAATTTTTTCTTTTTACCATTTGATTGTAACTGATAATTATTTGTGCTACGAGTAGAAGGATTATATCTACAATTGAGGACTAAGGAGATGATCAAGGGACCATATGTGTTCACATTATAATTAAAGAGTTCATTTATAATTGAAGGAATAAATTTAAATATATAAAATAATTAAGGGCCTAAATGTGTAGTTTTCTTAAAAATTATAAGATTATATCTATAATGGAAATTATTATGCATGCGGGGTTTGATACTGTGATTTTTCCTTAAGGAAAGTCACAGAGGTGTCAACTAAACACAAAGTGTTTGGCCATTGAAATTAATCTTGTTTGTGCTAAATAAAATTGTAACAATTATTATATCAGGAATCATGATCTACGATAGGTATGGTGAATTCGATATGAACATAAATTCTGTACATTATGAAGTCAAATTATATGTATTGTATTAGGGTCCACAATGCATTGTGAATCATGGTCCACGATATAAATTGCTGGACCGCAATGGGTAGATATTTTATAAGGGCATTAAAGTGACTTTAGATAGAGTGTAACTTTCATTCTGTGGGCCAAGTTGGGTATCTGATTATTTTATAGTGGTGCATTAAAGAATCTTACAAAATTGACCCTACTCACTGGATACTTGCTGCTCTCTTTTTCTGGAAATAATATTTTTAATTTTTGGAAATAATAATTTGTTAGGACAGACAATTGCCACCCCAAAGATTATTTAAGATATAAAGTTTGGGCGGTCCAAATATAACACACGTCACCAAGTAATTTGTACACTTCTCCATAAATATATATTTCTAATTTGTTTATTTATTTGTATGAGAAAAAAAATTTGTAACAATTACTCGAGAGAGCGTACATTAAGTAAATGAAATTTAATTGTTGTGTAATAATTTACAACCACAAAAAGAAAGAATAAATTATACTAAAAAATATCTATGTGACGAACTCGACCGAGAGTTTGTTGTCTAGAATCGAACTTATGACTTTCTAATTTTTTTTTTTTTTTTGAAATCTCTAATTTACTTTCTTAAACGGACGATAGCAAATATAACAATCACAAATTATATCAAGATGGACCATGAAACATATTTATTTTTAACATATTGCAAATTTATTTTTAGCCTGTTGTAACTTTATTTTTAATAAGTTTATTATATTTTGATACATGTTCATTTTAATGCATTATAAGTCAAAATGAACATGTTACGACATATTAAAATAAACTTGTATTATGATCCACTAAACTTTGGTCAACAATATAAGCATTGTATAACAATGGGGATTGTTAACCCCTTCATGGAAAATGCACTCAATTAGGGGAGCAATTGACAATGAAAACGATTAATTATTGAACACTAGATTAGGAATGCTATTTTGATTTGTAAATAAACGATTAATTCATAACTTCTTTACACCTTTGAACACATTCTCCAGGAAAATTATGGTGTGGACACGGTTCCAAAACTGTTCATAATTATGAATATATAATTCAAAAATTATGAATATATAGATTTATAATTATAAACATATTGTTCAGTAATTATGAACATAGAACCGTGTCCAACTTATAAGATTGACACGATTCCACAGCATAACAATTGCATTCTCCACTACTCTGCTCCTTCCTTAACCCAATGAAAATCTCTCTTGGACTGCAAATTATGCTGTGCAACCGTGTGCACCATGAAGTTATGGATATATAGTTATGAAATTATGAATATATCTTACTGTTTGAATACAAAAGGAAACCGCCTAACGCCGTTAACTGATTCGAACGGAATTTTTTTATTTTTCAAATGAAACGGCATCGGTTGCGTTTTTTTATTTTTCAAATGAAACGGCATCGTTTTGCAACCGTGTGCACGGTTGCACAACATAATGATTGCTCTTGGACCCCTTGGGCCTAGCCCCCCAAAAGCTAAACTATAATATAGTTACAAACATTAAGTATATTAAATTTAATAAGAAATACCATTTTTATAAGATAAAATAGAGTATTTCACTTTTTATTCACCGACTGTAATGATATTTATTACTTATAGTGTTCAGTTTTGTTTGTTTTTGTTTTTTTAGTTTGAATATTAATCTTTCTCAAACATTTCACTTTTAGTCTTTTCTTTTTCTTCACATAATGCATAGTGAAGTTTGATAAAATGATCACAAGGTGGAGATATTTTTAACATTTGAAACAAAAAGTTTTTAAAGTAAAATAACTAAAACTAAAACATTTTTTTCTCACAAGCACAAAGTAATCACATGTCATAAATAGAAATAATACAAGATCAAAAGTAGAATAAACCCTAAAATAAAATATGTCACACCAGTTATCATCATTCTTTGGAACTTCTCCTCAATTCTGGCCATGGCTTCTCTCTGTCACTAGAACCCCCACTTTGCCCTAAAACCTGGCTTTTCTCTCTCTCTCTAAGATTTTATAGTTTGAATCCATGAGAATCAGAATCTCATCTTATACAACTCAAGTACATTTGATGTACATCTTAACATGGGAATTGGGGGAAAACTGTACATTCCTCTCATCTGCAATCTCAATCTCTCACTACAAACAATTTCGAACCTCTTCTACTTTTCTTGTCAATCTGACGATGAATCTTCAGACTAGGGTAGAACACCGTGCTGCTATGTCTCAAACCGAGGCCTTAAACTGCCTTCGGTTGGGTTTGCTCAAAGTCGAAAACCTCAAACATGAGGCGTCGGACATCTGGTTTCCCATATACGGCATATGACACACCGTGAATGGCTTGTTGAACCGAAGTCGTGGCTGGATTTCTCAACCTCCGGTTGTGCTCGTATGCATCCTGGACTTCCTCGCTGTATATGATAAACCGGTGGAGAAACTTTTCCCGCAAGTACTTCCCACAGAACTTGTTCATCAAGATACGACGATGTCTCTCCATCAACCATCTTCCGGGTGCATCCAGATGCTTCATAAGCAACCTCTCCGCCATTATAAGATCCTACAATATGAGAAGAACGTAGTCAAACTGTTGAGTTTGTCTTATATAGGGATTAAGAATATGAGTTTGTCTCATACTAGGAATAAGAGTGAAACAGGTAGACCCATTGTACATGGACACAAACATTATGCTACAAAGATAGTACATATATCTTGAAAAATATTTGATTTATTTTTATTTTTTACACTGGAATGAAACTAATTGAAGCATGTGCTCCATCTCAACTAAAAGCCTAAGCTGATAGTTGGATTGCACATTAATGGTTATATGCTCAAGATAACTAAAACAGAATTAGTACCTGGATTTTCTGACCGAGATATTCTAATCGCTCATAACAAAACCGTGGATGTTCAAACTTGTACTTTGAGGGGTGCATGAAAGCAAGCTGCGTTTTGTATTCGATATAGGTAAGTCGAGGGGCTCATAAAAAGGCGAAAGCTTATAAGGACCAAAACGAAATACCTGCAAACCGAGTCCAAGTTCTATGTTTCTGGCATCGGTGATCTCACGAATTCTATCTGTCATTGTCAATGGATAACCGAGTGTTTTCATGACTTGAGGTCTAGTATCGTAATCCCATATATTTCCACGGAACCGATGCATGCCCGGTGGAACACATGCCCGGAATAGCCTAGGATGCGAAAAAAGAGCATCTTCTGGAGGCTGTTAAACATGAATGAAAATATTCATTTCCAGAACACAAATCAAATCTTCTATTCAATAATAAAATCGAGCTCTCTTTTTCAAATTTTAAATGTCCAATCAATAAATATAAAAAGGGCAAAGCAAAAAGAAAGAAAAAGCGAGCTTGCCTTGTATGTAGCAACATCTTGCCAGCTTAGCTTGTTGCCTTCAAATTCTACAGATACATAGTCTACATCCTCTAGTTGTCTCCTGAGTCTGGGTTGGCAGTCTTCAGCCTCGGGATCCATTCCAAATACTTCGAAGAGAACTCGATAAACTTCAGGCATGCCAAAGCACAAATAGATTGCTCCGAACAAAGCCCAGAATACAGATCTGTCATGATGCCATCGAAGCAAAGTTAACTCTATTCAAAACTGGCTACCATGTGATACCAAAAGGCAATCCACAATTAAGGACATGTGTTATACAAAGATGTCATGTTAGAGGATGCATAAAGGTTTGCCTATTAGCTTAGGCACATAGGAAATCCCTGCTTTTCTAACAATTCCGAGTTAACTTGAACTAGGACAAACAATGTACTAAACACAACAAAAGGTTGTCTTTCGAGACATTTTTTTTTCAGGAGACGCAATATTATTTGGGATGACTGGCTAAGAAATGAATGAACTAGTGATCCTTCATCAAAGATCTACCAAATACAGAGTGAAAAACTGCCAACAGTCCCTTCAACTGCCACCCTTCCCCTACCATGCCCTTTTTCAGAATGTTACATATACGGGGCAACTCCAACCAAGCTGGTTATACTATTGACTTGGTAACCACAAGGTTACAAGTTCAACTATAGGGCCAAGTTGGTCAGACTAGTAACCAATGTTGCAGAAGGCGCTAGGCGCTAGCCGGGCGCCTAGCACCTAGGCGTCTCCTAGGCGGTCGAGTAATTCGAGTATCTCTACTTTTCCCACTCAGGACTGTTAGTTGTTAGATTATTATAATCCCACAAACTACTCAACTACATATGTTAGATGGTTAGTTAACTACATGACTAGAGGAATATAGAAGAGAAGCTACCGAGATCGGCCGTCGACTCACCCTAGTTGGGCGCCAACTAGGCAGAGTTAGGCGTCCAACTCGGCGCTTAGGGCGCCTAGTCGGCCTACCGGCTAGCAAACTAAAAGCTGCCTAGAGCTGAATCGCCTCGGCCTAGGGGCACCTAGTGCCTAGTGCAGGCGGCCGATTTTTACAACACTGCTCACCACAATGTTACAAGTTTGAGTCTCGAGCGGCCTATTGAACTCTTTGGTTTGAGCTAGTCAGAAGGGCGAGTTTACCCGTGCAAACTCTCGAGTAGTGGCGGTAGGTTTCCTCGTGTCACTCAAAATGCTATATATACAACAGGGTATACATCCCAAATTAAAAGAGGTAAAAGACTATTTTTATGCATAAAAGGACATGTTCATTCAAAAAACCCAAATGAGAAAGAAAAACAAGGCTAGGCTAACTCACTTGCAGGGAGGTTCTCGCTCTGATCGTTTCAATTTATCCATATCATCAGAAGGAAAAATCAAATTTTGCAAACTGGCAGCTTTGATCCACTTGGGGAGAAACCTCTTCCCAATCAAAGCATACACTCTCTCCCTCATCGGCCCAGGCGATTCCCTGGGATACCTCTGCAAGAAGAACTCGCATAAGGCCAATTCAACCACATATTCTCCCAAGAACCCTAGCCTCGAGTGCCCCGACCTCACATGCCTCGCATTATTCTTCTCAATAAATGGGTGCTGAAAGGCTAAATACAACAGCGTATCAAACTGCTTAGCCGGGTTATCGTCCCCGAAGTTATCCGACGGCTCCAGCGGGTACCCAAGAGCCTGCTTCGCCTCCACCAAATAGTCCCCAATCCAAGCTTTATCATAATTATTGAGCTTCGAAGGGGGCAGGCAAGAGCTCAATAAAGGGAACGACTTTAACGACAACTGCGGGCTATTAAGAAACCTTTCCGCTAGCCTCGCGTCATCTAGCGGAGGCTTGAGTATAAACCGTCTCGGCGGCGCCTTCTTCTTGGGGGAAGTTGCCTTTCTGCGCTGCGCGAGCTCTTTCAGGAGCCTCTGTGGGCTGTTCTCCGGGAGTTCTTTGGGCTCCACCGCTACGGCTAAAATTCGGAACTTTGGAGAAATGGGTGCCGGAATTCTGGAAATCTTGAGGTGGGTTTGGAGAGGGAAGGGTGATAATGAGGATGAAAAGCTGAGGTCTGATGGGTGATGGACATTCAAGTGCGGTTTGAAGCTTGAACAGAGCTCCATAGCCAGTGAAGTGTGATAGAATTGTGGATTGAGTTTCAGGTAACAGTGGGATGAAGTGACATAATAATAGTTTTCTGGATTGGATTTGAGTTATGGAGGTTTTTGCAGGGCTTTGATGGACTGATAGTAGCTGGAAATTGAGGTGCGGCTGAAGAGAGAAAAGAGATAAGAGATAGAAGAAATTATCAAAAAAAAAAAAAGAGAGATAGAAGAAATTTGTAAAAGATATTTCCCTTATATTTGGGCTGGAACAACTGGTATAGGCCCAATCCAATTTACAAGGCTCAATAATCCCCTACATATTAATCAAAATCCAGTCCAATCCCTCAACATTGGCAAATTTTGTCCTGGACCCGTGTCCACAATTCCCAAAACGACGTTGTTTTTCAAAAAAAACGCGTCATTTACTTAAAAAAAAAAAAAAAAAATCGCTCGTGTTTTGCCGTTAACGGTGTTATTTTTTTTGGATTATGAATGTACAGTTATGCCGTTATGAATGTACAGTTATGCAATTATGAAATTATGAACACAAAGCTCTAACATTATGAACTTACAATTATGAACATATAGTGATAAAATTATGACCATGGAGCTTTAAAATTGTGAATATAGAGCTTCGAAGATTATGAATGTACAGTTATGGAGTTATGAATGTACAGTTATAGAGTTATGAATCTACAGTTATGGAGTTATGAATCTACAGTTATGAGATTATGAATCTACAGTTATGGAATTATGAATGTACATTTATTGATCGAATTATGAACAAAGAGCTCTGACATTATGAACTTACAATTATGAACATATAGTGATAAAATTATGAACATAGAGCTCTAAAATTGTGAACATAGAGCTTCGAAAATTATGAATTTACAATTATGGAGTTATGAATGTACAGTTATGGAGTTATGAATGTACAGTTATGGAGTTATGAATGTACAGTTATAGAGTTATGAACGTACAGTTATGGAGTTATAAATGTACAGTTATTAACATATAGTAATAAAATTATGATCATATACTCCTATAACGAAGCGGTCTGAATTTTTTTTTAAAAAAAAAAAAAAAAAAAAAAAAAAAAGAGATAACAGTGCCCACGTTGGACACGAGTCCAACGCATAACGATTGCTCAACATTCCGTTGTGGTCTGTATTTATTTATATAAAACAAATATTCCATGTATCAATTCACAAATATTTTGGTATGCTAAATGTATTGTTGGGGATATGGTTGAAATGGGACTTAGCTTGAGTTGATCTGGTAGTTAGTTTAGCAACTATAAAATTTTTAAGTTTGACTCATCGTAGAAATTGTCTATTGGCGGTTTGAGTCGGGCAGTCGACTAACTCTTTGTCAACCTTTGCCAATTAGAGTCATAAGATGAGTTTCACCTAAAGTGCACCTATGGGCTTTCTCCTTAATCAAAAGATATGAGCCAAAGACGTCGGGGTCAAGCGGCATAACTGTAGCTCTCCCAAATGAGAAGTCACAGGACCAAAGTCTAGTGGGACATTGACTCTTTGTGTTTCAATAGGTTGAAAAATTATATATGGACATAAATTATATTATAACAGAGTCAATAGTACTCAAACAAGAAAAGGATATGGGCCCAAATGCAACCTCGGGCATGGACATGGTCCATGGATCAATTGGTGTGTTTGTGTGTGTGTATTTTTATTTATTATTATTATTATTATTATTATTATTATTATTATTATTATTATTATTATTATTATTATTATTATTATTCAGTCTAGAGGTTGTTTTCAGTGAGTAGTTATGAAATGTGTGGACCAAGCACAATGAGAAATGTGGAAGTTAGATGTAGGTTCTATTTGGCAAACCTAGCTGAAAAGCTATAAGCTAGGAGCTGAAAGCTGAAAAGGAGCTTAAAGCTGAAAAGCTATAAGCTCGGAGCTGAAAATTGAAGAGCTGTTAAGCTAGCTGTTATGATTGAAAGTGTTTGGTAAAATTAACTTTTTGATAAGCTGATAAATGTAAAAAGACTAAAAATGACATTTTCATAAAATTTAAATTAGTTGGTTTACATATTAAAATTTAATATTTTGTCTTTAAAAAAAATTAACATTTTGAAATAAAACTATTAGCATAATCATGATCTCGCATCTCATAATGAAGTAGCAATATTGTTGCAATAATAATAATAATAATAATAATAATAATAATAATAATAATATTTGAGGTGAAAGTTGCGGATTAAGGAGAAAGAGAAAAGGATTTTAATTGGGAAGAATAAATTATGTCATTTCTTTAAAATAATAAGGATAAAGATGGAAAAAAATTAGGAAGCTAGGAGTTTACTTTGGGAACGTTACCAAACAGAGCTTATAGCTTATTAGTAGTTTAAAATAAGCTATAAGTTCCTAAATAAGCTCTGCCAAACCGTAAAGTTAATTAAACAGGTTTTTTTTTTTTTTTTTTTTTTTTTTTTTTTTTTTTTTTAAATAGAGATAACAATGTGAGTTAGGTCTACATGAGTCCGTCAAGTTATACATGACTAATGTATTATATCGTTGCATGTCTGGTATAATGACATATTTTGCACTCAGGTCGAGACAATATAATCAAGGGATCAAAACTAAAATTAAGCAAGGGAGGTAGCTAGATATCTTGAATCGAAGCTTCTTAATGAGAGTGACATGCATGAAAGGCATGCAGACCGGGTCTACTAGTGTGTCAAAGAAGCACTAAGATAGGAAGAAAAGAGCTCTCAACTAATTAAACATCACAACAAATATGAAATATCCCTTTGTCCCTAACTTATAATGTGATGATTCGAGCACTCAAGCATGGATTTTATGCAATATAATTGAGAGAATACAACATCATGTGTAACTATATACTTTAAAGGCAATATTATGGGGTTGATTGATATATGCATTCCACTACATATTTTGAGGACCCAAAAAATCAAAAACAAAAAACAAAATATAGTTGAGTTGAGTTGAGTTGACGAAGAATTTTTATTAAACTAGAGATTTTTATTCTTTTCTTGTGCTGATCATTTGAGATACTTTAACTTGTGATTATGGTCAAGCATATTCAAAAAGAGGAAACTCTTTTTTTTTTTTTTAAATAAAAATTTAGGTGATCCCAACTTCACCGGATTAATCCTAAGCTCATAGGACTTTACCGTTTCTATAAATATAAATTGCGAGCCTCACAAATGCACAATCAACTCACCGATAAAGAGGAATATGAGCATATAAATAATTATGGTCTCAAACTTCTTTTTCCTCCTAGAGGCATTTTAGAATTTAGATAGGGTTTTTTGCATGTTGCATTAGTGTTCTTTAATTGGGCATTTGGGCTAGGTTTATTTAGTTGCTTTTTCTTTCGTCCTCGCTAATATATATGTTAAAAACAAGATTTAATTTAATGTTCATTTACAACATATTCCTAGTTTCGCTCAAATATAATAAATATTTGATTACTTTCACCCGTGCGAAACAACAAACAGAATAAAATCCCAAATTCTCTAGTGCGAATCAAATGAGCGGTAGGTCTTGCAAGCTCATTAAGCGAAATATCAAATTTAGTTCTCTTAAAAATGAAGAAAATTTTCTCCGATGGAATTTTGACGGAAAAGTGGCCGGAATGATCATTTTTGCCCAAAAAAACAATAGTCGTGGACTAAAATTTAAAAAGTTTGAAAGTCGTGGATCAATTCTGATAGCATCACTATAGTCGTGAGATCAAAAGTTTAAAAAACTCGGATAGATGACCAAAAATAGTCATAAACACAATAATACTAGGACCAAATGTGGATGTTCTGATAAAAAAGAACTAAAAGTGGATTGTCACATATAAATCTAGGACAAAAATTGAAATTAACTCAAAAAAAAAAAGTATAATTTTATTTAAACACACTAACTATGAAAAGAAATGCAATTATAAATGCAACTCTCAGCTACCCATAAATCACAAGATTTTTCGTCTTTAGGATAGTATATGCAACTATGCGTCTATGCAAGCATCACTTTCATTTATTAAAATACCTCAAAGGGTTTGCTTTGCTAGCCGTCTCAAGGTACATGATTTAATTTTATTGTGAATATTAATGTATAATTCAAGTATTTAGATTAACAAATTAAAACACATCTCGCAATCTATTTTATCCACTCGTCTCCAAAACGGGACACTATAAGAACGGTAAATGTCATTAAATTTTTGTTCAAACTAAAAATACCTAAGCATAATGCCCACACATATGACTTGTATATATAGAAATGTTGAAATATGTTCAAACCTCACATTAGACATTTAATACATTTTAGGGTTGGGGTTTAGCCTTTTGGAAAGAAATGTTGAAATATATATATTTGGCATTTATGAAACTTCAAATCAAACCTTATTAGCTGGCCAACAAATAAAAATCTAGCTCTTCGGAGAGCCGTTCATCAGTCACCCAGCTACCAATGACCAACAACTTAATTAATTAAATTAGGCACGAACATGGATTTTTTATTTATTTATTTTTTTTAATTTCCTTTGGCAAGATAGCAGTTTTAGTCCATTAATTATATTATACTTAAATTATAGACTAAGTCCATGAATTATTATTATTATTATTATTATTATTATTATTATTATTATTATTATTATTATTATTATTATATACAAATTTTTTCCTTTAATTATGTTGAAAGTGGCAGTTTCAATTCATTATTTATAATTTTTGTTAATATTAAGATTTTATTTTGAATTTTCAAATTATGAAAAAATAGATTGGTCATTTTGTAAAATTTTTCCAAATTTTCTCCACGAATCTTCATATATATATATATATATATATATATATATATATATATATATATATATAGATTAGCGCTCAAATGCGGCAGTGGCTTTAGGTGCGGCGGTGCGGCTATATCAGCATCGTCCATTTTGCTTAATCTAACGGCAGCGGCTAATTTCTGAAGATTTAAAGATTTAAGCGCGTCCTGATAAGTGGGGGTGTTATGGTAATTGTAGTGGTCATTTATATCGGCCGCTTCTCAGAATACACCAATAGTGTTAACAAAAGACACCAATAGTGTTAGGAAAAAGCACCACAATGAAATGCACAAATACACCAAAAAACACACAACACACTCAAAAAATACACCATATAACTCACCACCCCAATGGTGTATTTCTGAACACTGTG